GGAAGCAGAGAGAGAAGAATGAAAAATTCCTGAGGAAGGGTGAGGTCGCTTTGGTCCCAGGCCCCTGCAGCTAACTGATTAGCACGTACTACAGGAAGTTGTACAGCCCAAGGTTAGGCCAGGAACTTCCTGCTTTCGTAAGGTTTGGTAAGGCAAGGAAGGTCACACAAAGTTCAAGACACAGCTGTCTGGAGTCGGTCTCCAACAGTTCCCCCCCTTTTCTCAAAAATGGACCAAGTCCATTGTGATCGGGTTGGCTAGGGTCCGAGAGAGTCCCTGTCTTAGGCTACACAGGGGGCTTCCCACGCTCGGCAGTGTGCCATGTTGAGCCAGTCTCGACGACCTCTGTATGCTGTTGTCTCCGGTGTGGGCCCTGTACTATTCCCGTCATTGGGTACCCTCTAGCAGGACCATGGGGACGCTAGGGCCTTAGGACACTGAATCTGAGTCCTTGATGGGGCTCCTGGCCGGCCTCCTCGGAATCTGGCCCAGGGACCAAAGGTAATGAGAAGAAGAAAAACAATTAAGGGGCCTAGAATGGTAGGCAGCAAGGTGGAGATCCAGGGGGACCCTTGCAGCCAATCTTCAAACCACCCATGCTGATTTTCAAACTCCCTTTTTCTTTGGGCTAGCCTTTCCCTTAATTTTTCCATCGATTCCCTGACAATACCAGTAGGGTCGGCATAAAAACAGCATTTTTTTCTTTAAGGCTGCACTTAATCCCCCCTCCTTTGAAAATAGTAAATCCAGACCTCTTATGTTTTGTAACACAACCTCAGAGAGCGAGGTTAAAGATTTCTCCAGAGCAGAAATGGATCTTTCTATGGCCTCTAGGTCAGTAGTCATAGCCATTTGTAACTGCATAAGGTGGTTGCTCTGCACGAGGGCAGTAGTTCCTGTACCAATTCCTGCAGTGATGCCCCCAATACCTAACAATAGGGCAATAGTCATAGACACAGGTTCTCGAGTGTATCTGCCTCTCTGCTCAAAGAATTCCATATCGGAGACTAATTGGACCAGAACATAAGAGTTTTCCCATTATCAATGGCAAAGTGAGCTTCCCCTTATTCAGTTTTTGCCATCTGCAAGTGTGTCATGGGTTCAGAGGTGGATATTGGAATTCTAGCATCCTCAGTTTAGTGGTACCCAGACATGAATCATCATTTAGTTAAGACATCAGTGATATAAGAGCCAACAATAATTAGCAGAAGCACAAGGGCCAAAAACCTTATGATGGCTGACAGAGTTCCTTATCCTCAAGGAACTTGGAACTTATCTCAGGTTTCCTATGACAAGAAATTCTCCTTTGATCTAACATTCCAGGGGGGGCGGGAAACAAGGGCGATGTTTTCTCTTCTGTAATTACTTCCTGCTGACATTGGGACGTTGTTGTCAAGGCCCTGGAAAGCCAGAATGTTAGTCAAAGACAAGAGGGAACGTTCTATTGACCAGCTGAAGAGATGGTATGTATATCGGCTGAATTGGTCCATATCAGCTTTCAGCAAGTTCAGGGCTCACAGTCATTTGCAGTAGGTTGTCACCAGCAAATGATGCTAGGATGTATCTGTCAGCCAAGTGGAAACCTGTTGAGATACATATAAACTAGGAACAGGATTTAAACTTACAAACTTATTTGGAACTTTTAGACCCATAGTCTTAGTAATTGTAGTATTATCAATTTGCCCTGAAATCCATAGTGTCCTTTCCATCCAGAGAGCCAAGTATAGACTGGACTGAAATTTCCTTGGCCCAATGAAAAGCATCTGTAAGTCTATATTTAGAACCTGTTTATCTTTTTTTAAAAAAGACTTATTAGCTTTAATTAATTAATCCATTGATCAATCAATTACTAAGCTGAGAAAGCTATAGCTAGTCCAGTCATCAATGTCATCAAAGATCTGAGAAGGATAAACTTTACCTGAGTGCAGACTTTTAAATCTATTTAAAAAAAAAAAAAAAACAACATAGACTATCCATAACCCAGACTGTCATCATCCCAGGCTTCTATAGTCTTCATAGTGTTGGCAGGACAGGTGTCAGGACAGCATCAGTCTTGGCTGCTGGGGAGCTTGGAGTCTCTGTTTGCTATAGTAAGCTTTTTATCAAATAATGTAAATGCCATATTTAACAGATCTTTGACAGGTTTGAGGACCATTATCTATTAAATGTATCTGAGCCAAACAAATCTAGGCCCAATCTTGAAAATATCTCTAAGTTTGGTAACAATAACCAGGCCAATTTGTTTACCTATAGATATATTAGTCAAATATACCTCTCAGGTTTTTTTTTATTAAAATAGAACAGTTTATGCTTTAAACTAATATCTGAATAGCCAGATGACTAGTATTAACTTGTATTCCTTAACATAAAGGACATGCAAACTCAGACATTCAAAACCAAACATACATGTGGCCACATTTTTCATTCATACCTGTAGAGTAGACAGACATTTTTACAACTATGACCCTTTGGAGTCTCAATGTAACAGCAGAATAGCAAGACAAAGAAATCTGAAACATGTTTCATTTTTTTATATATCTCAAGTCATTCATTTTTTTTTCTTAAATCATTATTTAAACTTTTTTATCCTCAGACCTTTATACCTTGCTTTTAGGTATTCTAATAATTTGTATTTTACATATTTTTTTAAACATTTTTTTTTATCTTAACCAACAATAATTTGAAACCAATTCTCTTAAATGATGGCAAGTATTTGTAACCCATTGAACTCAAATGACCAAAACCCATGTTAATTTTTATTTTTCCTGTGGAAACAAAAGCATAATTTTCCCAGTATCTTGAACTGATAATTTAACATTTCTTTTTAAGCAATATCAGGACAGAGAAGGGTTAACAAGAGAAGCTGCTGGCCAGCAGAAGAGACCTTGAAGTAATCACAGTAAAGGAAGGGAAGGGGAGCAGTGGGCATAGAGCATGTCCTTGGCTGCCAGTGTTCCTGAAAAAAGTTTTTGTTAACTCCTCTGACTAAAGTCAGATTCTCTGCTCAGTGTTCACACAGTTTTTGTCAATTGCAGGCAGTCCCCATTGCCCTGTCCAGAGCTCCTGTCTTTGCCTGCCTGTATGGAGAACACGCACCCCTACCCTCGTGAGAGCAGCCAGCTGACTGCAGTCCTGATAGCAAGAGAGCTAGGGAGGGACGGAGGTGGCCTTAGTTATGCCTCTCTTTCCTCCTCTTCCTTTAGGAAAATAAGGGAGGTTAGTAGACAGAAACAAATAACATTTACACAGACAATCCAAGAACCGGAACATCAGCACTGAGATGAAGGCCTCATTCACAGCCAGCAAGTCCCTCTTAGAGTATGCAAGCCCCACCTGGCAGGAGCTACCTGTTTATCTCAGTTTAATCCGGGAGTGGGGGTGGGGAACCCAGTTCCCTCTCACATTCTTCCAGTGGGCTAGGCAAAGGTCTAGTGGAGAAGAAGGGAACTGTCCCATAGTGTCCGTCACAGTCAAGTCAACAATGAGAACAGTTAATACATTACACACAAGACCAAGGGCACACAGAAAAAAACTTTGCCCCAACAAAACAACCAACAAAGCTCCAAGAACAATGACAGCCTGATGTGCTGGGGGGGGGGGGGGGGGGTAACCCTCCAGGCTCAATCACATCAAAAACAATCCAGACTCGAGGATCTCTGTCCTTAATCAAACAGACATCAGGGGCTTCCACATCCCTGTCAGTTAGACATGCACCTTTTTTTTTTCTTGGAAGAGAAGGAGAGAGTAAAGTAACAATGATCACAACAAAACATACAAAAAAAACCCCACAAAATGGCTCTGACAATTTCCCGGGACAAAATACAAAGTGGCACTTCCTCCCACCGTGGAGGAAGATACCCAAAGATGCTCCTAAACCAAATGGTCACCTCTGAGGTGGCCTTAGGGCTCTGGGACGTCTCCCTTCGCCACAGGTTCACTGTCCGGACACGTCTGTCCCAGTGAGCCTGCAAAGTACAAATCGAGCCTGCAAAGTACAAAACAAAAGTAACAAGACAGAGAGACACAGACAAGACAGAGAGTGCTCATACTGGTAGATGTCAATAAACCTCTGGACCCTTGGGTGTCAGGCAGGGGGAGTTTGAGAGAAAATCCTCTGCAAGGGCTAGTAAATGTGAAACACGCCCATCTCCCTCTGTTTCCTTTAAAACATCTCTAATCACACCATAAAAACTAAAAAGGGTGTCGGGGACATTTTCCCGTCTCTGATTAATTTGTTAATATCTTTTCCAACCTTGTTCCAAGTCAAAGGGTGAATTCCTGGTCCATTAATCACTAACCAGGGACATTTCTCCTCCACATATTGGAAGAATTTTATCAAATCCTTTTTTTTTTTTTTTGGTTTTTCGAGACAGGGTTTCTCTGTGTAGCTTTGTGCCTTTCCTGGATCTCGCTCTGTAGACCAGGCTGGCCTCGAACTCACAAAGATCCGCCTGGCTCTGCCTCCCGAGTGCTGGGATTAAAGGCGTGTGCCACCACCACCTGGCCTCAAATCCTTTTTCTTAACTCTTATTCCTCTCTCCCTAAGATTACCTTTCATCTCCTTGAGAAAAACAGCCTCTTTAGATAAATTTTTGCCCATGATCGATGGGATGACATACTTACCTCAAGACTCTCCCGCCTTGCACGAGTGATGCAGTCCGGGCGTCTCTACCCTGATCCTCTCCGGGGGCCCCTTCTGTTGTCCGTCGTCCGGCAGGTCACTGTGCCTCGGGCCCCACATTCGGGCGCCACTTGACCCGTCCCGCAGGCCAGGTTATTGGGGAGACCCGAGGAGGCACCTCCTGAAAGATCAATGGGGGCGAGAAAGAAAGGAGACCAGGCACATAAGGGAAGACAGAGTCAGTCTGAGTCACGTCAAGGTCTCGTTTATTGACTGGGTATTGAGGTTTATAAGCAGGGCTTCAGGCGGGGGGGGGGGGGGGGGGGGGGGGGGGGGGGGGGGGGGGGAGCAGGGGAAGCAGAGAGAGAAGAATGAAAAATTCCTGAGGAAGGGTGAGGTCGCTTTGGTCCCAGGCCCCTGCAGCTAACTGATTAGCACGTACTACAGGAAGTTGTACAGCCCGAGGTTAGGCCAGGAACTTTCTGCTTTCGTAAGGTTTGGTAAGGCAAGGAAGGTCACACAAAGTTCAAGACACAGCTGTCCGGAGTCAGTCTCCAACATTAGGCCTTAGTTTTTGGGTGAAAGCATTTTGGTCTTATTTCTAAGACGGCCCATTTTGGTCTCACGCTCACATATAAGCACACACTTCTACAGCCACCTTATTTTCATCAAAGAGGCCAATAGCACACTTTGAAGAAAGGACAACACCTTCAACAAATCATACTGATCAAACTGGATGACTATGTGTAGGAAAATGAAATCAGATCTTTATGTCCTACCCTGCACAAAACTCTGTGGTGATATTGTGTTCCCCAATATATTGTGCACCCTAATAAACTTATCTGGGGTCAGAGAACAGAACAGCCACTAGACAGACATAGAGGCCAGAAAATGGTGGCACACACACACCTTTAATCCTAGCATTCCAGAGGCAGAGATCCCTCTGGATCTCTGTGAGTTCAATGCCACACTGGAAACAGCCAGGTGTGGTAACAAGAGCCTTTAATCCCAGGAAGTGATGGCAGGAAGCAGAAAGGTTTATAAGGTGTGAGGACGAGGAACTAGAGCCTGCTTAAGCTTTTAGGCTTCTAGCAGCAATTCAGCTGAGATTCATTCTGGATGAGGACTCAGAGGCTTCCAGTCTGAGGAAACAGGATCAGCTGAGGGATTGGTGAAGTGAGGACGCTGTGACTTGTTCTGCTTCTCTGATCTTCCAGCTTTAACCCAATACCAGGCACTGGGTTTGTTTTTTATTAATAAGACCTTCTAACAATTCGTGCTACAAAACTCAATGGACCAAGAACCTTAACATAAGACCTGGAAACCCAATCCTAATTAACATGGGAGAAAGCAGGAGATATACTCGAACTCATTGGTACAGGAAAGGACTTCCTGAATAAGACCCTGGCAATGTAGACATTAAGACCAATAACTGATAAATGGGACCTAATGAAACTAAAAAGTTTCTGAATAGAAAAGGACACCATTACTTGAGTGAAGCAGCAGCCTACTGAATGGGAAAAAAATCTTTACCAGCTTTATATATGATGGGGAGTTACTATCTAGAATATGCAAAGGACTCAGAAAACTAAACACCAAGAAAACAATAACCCAATTTAAAATTGTAGCATAGAACTAAACATAAAGTCCTCAAAAATGAAATAAAAATAGCTGAGAAACATTTTTTTCCTGTTCAACAGCCTTAGCCATCAGAGAAATGCAGACTAAACTGCTTTGAGATTTCATCTTACCCCAGTCAGAAGATTAATTTTCTACAAGGGCATTTTCATCATTTGTATAGGGGGTGGGGAATGTCATTGAAGTCTTGCAAAAAGACAGAACGGATGAGTCCTGTCTCCCTTGACAATCCTGAGTTGATCTCTGAATGCTGACACTGTGTGACATAAAGCATGTGTCTTTGCAAAATAAAAATAGCACATCCCTCACGTCCTGTTTGTCTTTCTTCCTCCCCACCAGATTCCGCTCAGGAGCACCCACTGAGGGCTGCAAGGTGGAAATACATTGTGTAATCCTCTCACTTTCCCACTCTGTCCTCTGCCAGAGCAAGACTCACAACGGGAGAAAACACACCAAGTTACGGTGCTGGATGAGTTGTGGCAATGATTATTCCCCCTTCTGTTTTATCCTTAGAACCCATGTCTATAACGCCATGTACTCATATGAGCTTCCGTTTATGTCTCAAAATGCCAATAATTCAAAAGGTAGCTCCCCCAGTGTACACTGACATGGGGAGGACACTGGCATTCTCAGCCCACTCACAATTGCTCAACACTGCAAACACACGTCTCGGGAAGTGACATTGGGTTAGGACTATGTCCAAAGGTAATGATGTTTTCCACAGTTTTTTTTTAAAGTAGTTTTACTCTGATGGTTTAAAATATTTGTTGTTTAATTAACATACCCAAATTATCAGCAATGAAGACATCAACTCCTGTAACCCTTGTTGCTATAAATATTTAATGGTATAATTCAGACACAGTTTTGCTTTTCATTCACAAAAGCAATTTGTCATTGCCATTAAAACTTTGGTGATTAGTAGAATATGAATTTGCTCATCTTGATGAATATATGAGTTGTTGGAATGCCACAGGATTAATCATCTACCCACTGATTTGTTTATCTTGTAGGGTCGGACACGTGCCACAGCGCACACACAGAGGCCAGAGCACAGCATCAAGCATTACTTATCTCTTACTGTGTGGGTCCTGAAGCTCAAACTCAGGTTGTCAGGTTTGGACACAGGTGCCTTGACCTGCCCAGCCATCTCATGGGCTCCACAAGGTTTGTGTTTGACATCTGGTAGAAATCTGCCATTCAGAGTCAACTTTGGCCTCAGTCTATTTCAACATCATTTCTGGAATCCTTGAAATTGTGTGTGGTCACTAATCTTATGATTGTGCAGCCACCACTGTCCGACAGTTGACCCTAGACACGACTTGTGAGTTATTAGTGTGTGAAGATCCTCTTCCCAGTGTTGCGTGCATTTTAGATGTGCCCTGGAGAGAAGACCTTCCTTCTAGTTTCTTACAAAAAAGACAACTTAAAACATCAATATTTGTGTGAACTCTTATAATCAAGGAATCTTCAGCTCGTCTTAAGCTTCAAACACCCATTTCACTCAAATTTATTTCTGGTATGAGAAAATAATGACATTAGAAATTAGTTCTTCTTGCTCATTCTGGGATTTTCTATACTCATGTATAAATGACCATTTTGGTTTAAAAATACTCTTTTGCCTTTTCTAGTTGCTATCTACTTTGTGCTGAGAACTGTAGTGAATGAGCATGGGAAAAACTGAAGGTGAGGATGTCTTACACTTAGACAGTAGCTCTCCAACCTGATTGCTTAGCCTAGAACTGAAAAGTACAAGAATTGCCCTAAATACAGGAGTTCATTAAAAGAAAAACTAATTTAACAACAAGTACTGAACTGCAATCTAGGTTATTAGCAGAGGTGGTTTGTATATATAATGGGCTAAAGTTTAGACCATGGTTCTGATCAACTAAAAGTTGGAGTGCTATATTAACAAAAGTCTATTTATACTTGTGTTACATCAAAAAAAACAAGCTAATATTTCAGTTTATTCAGATTTGCTAAGTACATTGGGTTCAAAACTGTGTCTTTAATTAAGAAGGTGGCAGTCAGTAGCCATTCCTAAGTCCCTGTAAGCCTTTAGGTGTGAGCTCTAAGAACTCGGTGTAAAAATGACTCAACAGACAGATTTCCAAACTCTTACAACTGATCCATGCTTTCAAAAGAATGAATGAAGGTATAGTTAGTGTAGCTATTAAATTAAAATTTAAAATTAATTTTATCGAAGATCATAATGTGACCTCTGGCTTCCAAACTTGACACATAAATGATCAAATGGCATTGTTGAAAAGGAGCCTCTCCCTTTTCTCTTTTCAGAAGAACAAGTTTCCTTATTGCTCTATCTACACAGCGGGAAACAGGAGAGAAAAAGATAGGTAAAGAATAGACTGCCAAAATTTGTCTCAAACTAGCAATGATCAATACCCATCCAAAGATACACAATCTCATCAAGGGAGCCAAATGCAATATACATTTAATTTCATTAAAAAATAATTTTCCAACAAAATTTTCTCCTGAACCTTACATGTAGCTTGAGTTTTCCTGCCTGGCCCACAGTCAGGACAAATCTCTGACACCCGCCAGTCCCACAGCCACTCAGACCCGACCAAGTAAACACAGAGACTTATATTGGTTACAAACTGTATGGCCGTGGCAGGCTTCTTGCTAACTGTTCTTCCAGCTTAAATTAATCTATTTCTATTAATCTATACCTTGCCACATGGCTCGTGGCTTACCGGCATCTTCACATGCTGTTTCTCATCGTGACGGCTGGCAGTGTCTCTCTGACTCAGCCTTCCACTTCCCAGCTTTATTCTCCTCCTTGTCCCGCCTACACTTCCTGCCTAGCCAGTGGCCAATCAGTGTTTTATTTATTGACTAATTAGCAACACATTTGCCATACAGAACATCCCACAGCACTTACACATGACAGGAAACACATGATCATTGAGTAATAGTTCAGTACTTTTGTTTTTTGTTTTGGTTTGGTTTGGTCTTTTGTTTGTTTCTTTTGAGACAGGGTTTCTCTGTGCAGCTTTGGAGCCGTTCCTAGAACTTGCTCTGTACACCAGGCTGGCCTCGAACTCATAGAGATCCGCCTGCCTCTGCCTCCTGAGTGCTGGGATTAAAGGCGTGCACGTGCACCACCACCACCACCACCACCACCACCCAGCTCAGTACTTTTTATTTAATCTGAGAGAGGATTTCACTGTGCTTCCCTGGCTGGCCTAGAACTCACTGTATAAAACACCCTGGCCTTGAAATGGCAAGCAATCCCTTGCCTCTGCCACACAAGTGCTGGGATTACAGACATGTGCCACCACACCTGGCCCCAGCCTGCTCTTTACTTCTTATTTTGAGACAGGGTCAACAAATTGCTTAGACTGGGCTTAAACTCACTCCTGCTCCCATTCTAACCTTGAAGTTATATCCTCCTGCTTCGGTCTCATGAGTACCAGGGTCACAGACATGTGACCTTATTGCCATGGCCCTGTCAAATTGATTCTAACACTCGTATCTTAAAAAGCAAAGAGGACAATGAATCAATACTGATAAAAGTGTTTCATTTCATCCTAGAAAAATTAAATATGAATGCTTATCAAATAGAAATTATTTTCTTATAGAATAATCAATCTTCTTTATTTCCTTGATATTTAGTGATTTATTAAATATGTTTTTATGGCGTAGGTCCAACTGAACTGTAATTTTCTTTATAATAAACGAAGATAAGGAGACCCATAAGAAAATAAGAGTCAAACGTCCACACATTGGACGGTGGGCTGGGGAGGTAGTTGAGTCAGCAAAATGCTTCCTGTGCAAGCATCAGGACCTAAGTTTGTATCCCAGCATTCATTCACATAAAAGGCCAGGCATGGAGGTATACATCTGTGTTCATTTGCATAAAAGGCCAGCTGTGGAGGTGTGCACCTGGGTTCATTCACATACAAGGCCAGGAATGGGGGTATGCACCTGTGTTCATTCACATAAAAGGCCAGGTATGGAGGTATGCACCTGTGTTCATTCACATAAAAGGCCAGCCATGGAGGTATTCACCTGTGCTCATTCACATACAAGGCCAGGCATGGAGGTATTCCCCTGTGCTCATTCACATACAAGGCCAGGCGTGGAGGTAGTCCCCTGTGCTCATTCGCATAAAAGGCCAGCCACGGAGGTGTGCACCTGTGTTCATTCACATAAAAGGCCAGGTGTAGAGGTGTGCGCCTGTGGTCCCAGGCCCATGAGGCCGAGATGGGACGATCACAGCAGCTCTCTGGCCAGCCAGTCTAGCCAATTGGTAAGCTCTAGGACCAGTGAGAGATGGCTACCTCAAAAATAAAGGGGGAGCAATAGGGAAGTTTCCAAATGACAGCCTCTGACCTCCACACTTGCATGCATCCTCAGACACACACACACCCCTGTAGTGTCAGACAAACGTCTATTCACCTCAGATAAGGAAACAATGACAGACCAAAGTCATGATTAAACTACCAAAGTTTAACTTGGCTTTATTTTTTTTCAATTTCTTAAAAAAAAAGACTTGGAAGCACATACCTCCAAACTTACCTTATCTGACATTCTAAGGTAAATTTATGTCATTGAGTGAAGGCAATGCTCCCTGAATTACCAAGAGGAGATATTATATATTTGCATTTATTGTCCTTTGTAAAAAAATGTCAAGCATATTGATAGATTTCATCAAACCATGTGATTTATTTTATTTTTCTTTAAAAATTGTTTAAAGTGCTAAGTATTAACCTGAGTTAGTGGCAGCTTCTAAGCACCATTTTTAAACATTTGGGTAACTTCAAAAAGTCGATAAAAGAATAGAGACAGTCCTGGAAATTATCTGGAATTGATTTTTTAATAGTGAAGTAGTTAATATGTTACAAAAATAAATGGTTGGCAGTTTACTCTCACTGGCCATCAGGTAAAATAAAAACCAGTGGACCTGGACAACGATCAGAGTTCAAGGGGCTGAGGGCTCAGACCCACTATTCTTTCCTGGCCCTCTCCACCATGAGGGGAAACCAGCAACCCACACTGGTCTCGCTTTTACTGTTTCTGCTTCTTCCCAGAGATGCCACAGCTACTGCAAAACCGTAAGTAATTCTTACTTCAGAAAATTCTGTTGTGTCCTTCCTTCCTACCCTGTTATCTCCTTCCTGGTTTCCTATGCAGTTAACTGTTATCAAAGAACTTGGAAGAACCAGTAAGTTGTTATGGCTCATGTAGAAGATCTACTCCTGTTCTAGAGACCTCTGAGATATATAGGGAAGTAATCTTGTCAAACAGCACCAGATAAGAATATAGAATTCCTACCAAAAAGAAGGATAAACTGTTTATCATAATGGTTCTCAATTTTCCTAATACTTCGACCCTTTAATACAGTTCTTCATGTTGTGGTGACCCCAACCATAAAATTATTTTCATTGCTACTTCATAACTGAAATATTGCTGCTGTTATTAATTATAATGTAAATATCTGTTATGTAAGATGTATGATATGTAATCCCTGTGAAATGGTCATTCAACTCCCTCCCCAAAGAGGTCACAACCCACAGGTTGAGAACCACTGGTTTACCAATTCATAAACGCCCTGCAGTGTCCTGGTTTTGGGAAGTCACTCAGTCTCTGTTTCCCTAAGCTGAGGGGCACCCAAGACAAATGGGTGAGAGACTGTGTGAGTCTCTTTGCTGAAGCCTTCAGAAAACATTTAGGGACTGCTAGTAGATTTTAAAAAACATGTTAACAAAATTCAGACCCTTCCTGAAATATCTCACAATATGGAAAAAGAGATATGGTGCACACAAAAAAAAGAGAGAAAGAAGTAAAGATGGAGAGCCTTCAGATAGAAACAGCCATTGCAGAGGCCTCTGAGAGCACCCACAAAGAAAGCCTTAGACTTCATAGGACCTGATATAAGGAAGAGTCTTGTCAAGTTTGATGAGTTCTTTTGAAATAGGTTTTTTTTTTTTTTTTGTGGTTTTTCGAGACAGGGTTTCTCTGTGTAGCTTTGTGCCTTTCCTGGATCTCGCTCTGTAGACCAGGCTGGCCTCGAACTCACAAAGATCTGCCTGCCTCTGCCTCCCGAGTGCAGGGATTAAAGGCATGCGCCACCACCGCCCAGCTTTGAAATAGGTTTTATGAGATAAAAATTTTCAGGACAGAAAGACACTTTGGAGGTGAGAAGCAATGTGAAACATACAACCTTGCAGAGGGCTACAGGTTTGGGTGCCTGACAGTGAACAGCAAGGATGTGCCGGGAGAGGTGTGTTCTCCTCTTGGCAGTGTCTGGCGGTGTCTGCTGATTAACCTAGCTTGGCGTGGCCTGCAGCACCAGACAGTGAGGGGAAGAAGGGAGCTGAGGTTGCTTCTTAAACTGGATTGAAAAGCAATTCAGCTTCTCCCCATGTGTTACATGTTAGTGTCTAGTGTTTCCTGGATGAAAGAGTTGTGGTATTCTTATGGAAGCTGAGGCCACGAGCAGTTGGATTTTTAAGGCTTCCAGTGATAAACCACTAACTCGTTCATGGTAATTTGGAGTTTCTAACTATAATATATAATAGCTGTCACATCAGATGGTGTGTGTGTGTGTGTGTGTGTGTGTGTGTGTGTGTGTGTGTGTGTGTATGTATAAACCTGGCACAAATGTCTACCCACCCCAGATAGGGAACCAACAATAGACCAAAATAGTGATTCTTCCAAAGTCCAAGTTGGTGAACTAATGCGTTTATTGGGGTTACCTATAAGAATGAGTCAGGGATTGCTTACAGGAGCATGAATAATTCAAAGACAACTACATAACCAAAAGTCTCACCTCTGTCTGGGTGCAAGCTGCATCCCTGAAGCTCTCTACATGACTTACAGGTAGTTCTGCTGGTAGGAGAGTCTCTTAGAGGCAACTCGGCCTCCTCTGTCCTCTCCTCTCCTACTGCTTCTGTAACCATGGAGAGACCTCATCAATTCTGTTAGCCTCAACTCTCCTGAACTCCTAAGATTTACTTCCTGAGTCTTGTGTACTTCCCTCCTCCCTCCAAGAAGGAATGTTTCAATTTGGAGGAAATTGCTACACAGCAATAACTTGAATTGATTGCCCAAGGTCTCTAATATACTGTGGGTGAACATTTACAGAACACCAGAGAATCACGTCAGTGTTTAATCTGGGGTTTATATGGTGACCTCTGGGGAACCCAATCTTGCTGAAACCGATGGCTAATGGCAACATAAAATACACTAGAAAAAAGCCACAGTAATGATGTCTTTTGAATCCTTTGTGGTTGATCCTCTTCTCCACAGACAATATGTGGTGCTGGTCCCATCACAGCTCTATGCAGGAGTTTCTGAAAAGGCCTGTGTCAACCTCCACCACCTGAATGAGACTGTGACACTCAACATAATTCTAGAGTATGAAACCCAGATCACAAGCCTCCTCACAGGCCAGGCGGTAGAGAAGGACTCCTTCTACTGCAGCGCTTTCACGGTCAGTGTCCTTCCTGGGATGTGTAGTACTGGTAGAGAAAGAGTAATCGAGTTGAACTTTATGTTCTCATCCATCAAAAAAAATATCTTAAGGAAAAACCAAGTACAAAGTAAACTTAAAATTTCTTTTTATGATACTTACAAATAGATCTAACGAAGTGCTTGAAAGTTTACCAAAGCTGTAGGAAAGACTTAATTTTACCTTAAAATGAACTTCAAAGGTAAATACTATCTATACTTTCACAGATATAAGTATTGAGATTCTTTTTTAAGATTTATTTTCACTTTATATGTCTCTGTGCACATGTATGTGCACATGAGTGCAGGTAACCACTGAGGACAGAAGAGGGCACCCTTGAGCTAGAGCTGTGGACAGTTGTGAGCCTCCTGACATGGATGTGGGACCATAATTCCTCTGCAAGAGCAGTGTGTGCTCTTAACTGCTGAGTCATCTCTCCAGCCCTTGAACACAGATTCTTAAAAGTCAAGCTACTTATGTAAGACAGATGGCTGATGCTGGCTTTGAAAGGTGGAATATGATATTATTTTTAATACCAAGACTTTGCTGTGAAAATGTAAAGACACCATCTCATTCACTGTCCTGACTGCATTGAAGAATGGTCCATTGTATTCACCCTCAATCTAAGTGTGAATTGTTAACATCACATTACACCATCATAGTAGTCTATGGATGTAACAGGAAACTGAGTCCTTGACATTCCCTTGCCAGCTCTCAAGGATTCACAAAGAGACCAGACGCCTGTAAAATCTGAGCACTCGGAAGTGGGCCTGAGCACACTCTTCCCACGCTTCTGTCTTGCAGATCTCAGGTTTGCCATCATCCTCAGCATTCATTACGGTGCAGATACAGGGGCCAACCCAGAACTTCACAAAGAGGAAGCCAATGCAGATAACAAAAGCGGACAGCCTAGTCTTTGTCCAGACAGACAAACCCATATACAAACCAGGACAAACAGGTATAAGGAACTAACTGAGCAAGGACAGCTGTGGGGCTGCTGGTGGGTAGTATTCTTTATGACTGAACTGCAGTCATGGGATCTCTGGCCCTGGGTTCCCACTTGGGGGCATCTCACAGAAAAAAAAAATCTCTGTTTCAGTGAAATTCCGTGTTGTCTCTGTGGACATCAGTTTTCATCCATTGAACGAAACGGTGAGTCTCCTTTCGGTGGGTGAATTCAAATAAGCAAACATTTAAGTCTGATTCATTTAAAAAAAAAAACCTGAAACTCATGAAAGAGATACCTAAATCTACCACAGGAGACTGCCCAAGAGTATCCATGCCAGAAGCATATGCAGCGGTAGCATTCAGACAGTTGACCAACTGCATTCTTAAAGTAGATAAAGCCTTCAAAATCAGGCAGGGCCTGGTGATGCATGCTTCTAATCTCAGTATAGAGGAAGCTGAGCTGAAGGATCACAAGGCCCTGGCCTGCCTGGACCACACAGTAAGATGCTGTCTAAAAAATAGCAACAAAAAGATATTCAGTTGAAAATGTTCTCTTGAAAGATTTCAGCCACTTCCTGGAGTGTATTTGGTTTCTCTTAAGCAAATATCATTTGCGAAATAATAATATATTTATTATTCAGATCTTTCATCCATATAGATTTCCTCAGATGTATGCTAGTCATAAAAGGAAATCTGGGAATTCTTAAGAGATTTATGTCCCACACTCAGGAGGCAGAGGCAGGTGGATCTCTGTGAGTTTGAGGCCAGCCTGTCTACAGAGCGAGTTCCAGGACAGCCAGGGCTATATGTAGAAACCCTGTCTTGGAAAAACGAGAGAGAGAGAGAGAGAGAGAGAGAGAGAGAGAGAGAGAGAGAGAGAGAGAGATTTATGTCCCAAACTAAACATGTAAAAAGCTATGGATCAAACAGGGGACCTCTCCTAGTTTAGATGAGAAAAACAGAAACATCTCCTAGTTTAGATGAGAAAAACAGAGACTTTGTTCCTCTGTGCTACAGGCTTTATCTCCTGATGTCATGATTGTCTCTGATGCCCATGAATATGTGGAACTTGATGGGCAAAAAAGAAAAGGAAGGCATGAAGTTGGGTGGGTAGAGAAGAGGGTTTGGATCTGGGAGGAGTGTGGGAGGGGTGAATATGGTCAAAACTCATAGTACAAAATTCTCAAAGAACTAATTAAAAAGGAAAATGGTATGGAACAAAGAAATAAATCATGGATGGTATGAAAAGGGAAGCAATTAAGTTCAGTAACATTTTTAGTCTGTAATTTTAAAAAGATGATCTCTTTCTAAATTCCAACACACACTCATACTATTTTTTTTCTTTTCAGTTCCCTGTCATTTATATTGAGGTAAGTAACAAACTGTACATCTAAGTTAGAATGAGGGCGCCCTACAAGTCGCATCAGATTTCTTTTCTCCTTTTACATGCCACCTCAACTAAACAAATACTTTTTTTTCCTAACTCAAGTTCTTTGGCAAAGTAAAACTTAAACAAAGGATTGCAGTTCTTTAGGGTGGTGTGATTTCATGACTCTTCAAATATGCCCAAAATAAACATATATATCAAAAAGATGTTCATTATGACACACATAGGCAGTGTCTCCCTTCTAACCTGCTTGGCTTCCGATATCAGACAAGATCAAAGCATCTGGGATGCCATGGCTGTAAGATTGATAGGATCCCACAGCTAGGGACCACACTGTCTAGTATTCAGTCTGGCATTCTTTTTAAAAGTGGGTTAACAATTTTAGCACTAATTCAACAACCACTTATTCAATTCCCAGTGTTATTATTACCTGAAAACTGACCTCTAATCAAACTATATGTTTCAATTGTTTACTGTAGAATCCTAAGAGGAACCGAATTTTTCAATGGCAAAACATCGATCTACTGGTAGGACTCCACCAGCTCTCTTTCCCACTGTCAGATGAACCAGCTCTAGGTAACTACAAGGTTGTAGTGCAGAAGGACTCGGGGAAGAAAATAGAGCACTCCTTTAAAGTGGACGAATACGGTAAGAATTCTCCAAGTATCAGGCACTTATGACAGTGGAATCTTTTAGGTTACTTTTGTGTATATATGTGAGGTGTATGCATATATGTGCATGTTGAGGGTGGTGTGTTCTCACTCTGTGTGTGCATATGTGGATGGTAAAAGTCAATATCAGAAAGCCAAACCAAAAAAAAAAAAAAAAAAAATCACTCTCAAAGCTCCCCAGAGCTGCTCTGTCAATCACATAATAAGGTAAATAGCAAATCATAGAACATGACTAACAAGTTCTGAAGTGGGCATGGGTTAGTCAGAGCATTAAGGAAGTTGGGGTGGGGGAAGGTGAACATCTTCAGCTGCCAGAGTGGAAGATTCATGGGAACCAGTGGAAGAGTCTGCAGAAAGCTGTCACCTCTGATATTTCTCCATTAAGTAGATCTACAACTAGGTGTCTGGTGGGGAACTGGGGATGTCTGGCACAATAGCTATCATTTGGTAAAAATGAGAGAGGGGGTAGGGAGAGGAAGGGAAAGAAGGAGGGGGATGGAGGGGAAGGAGAGAGAGAGAGAGAGAGAGAGAGAGAGAGAGAGAGAGAGAGAGAGAGAGAGAGAGAGGACACTTGAACCTACTGGCCCTCTGTTCCTCCATCTAACTGTGGTAGTCTTCAGACTCAGGGACGACCCACCTGCCTTTGAAATCTTGCACAAAATCCAAGAAGAGGAGTCTGGGAAGGACAGTCCCAACTTCACCAAGTTAGCACTCTACAGACAGCATCTCTTTCCTTGTGTTGACACTGGTGTTCCTCCAGTGACGCTGTGCCATAGATTCCTCTACGGAATCCATTAGTAATATTTATGAGGTCTCCTACCTACTCTCACCTCCTTTTTCCTCTATTCAAAACAGTTTTACCCAAATTTGAGGTGCAAGTAAAAATGCCCAAGACCATTGCTTTCCTGGAAGAGGAATTTGTTGTATCTGCCTGCGGCTTGTGAGTTACATTGTTTTCATCTTATTGTGATGTCTGTATTCTATTTGAGAAGATGTATTTTAAATAATATTTAGTGATGCATTACTTCTCAGCACATACAAATGTTAGAAGGGGTATGCAAGATGAAAGGTATGGCCATGAGGCTAAACCTCACCAACCTCACAGCTAGCCAAATGGGAGATTTTCAGACATTGTTCTACATCAGCTGTATGGGAGGAGCTTAATTAAAATTAGAATCCCTGACCCCTACGTACAGAAATTCTAGCTACAAATCTAAGGCAAGAGTTAAGAATCCTCCACCATAACATGAGTCACAGGTCATTCTAAAACAGCAAACTAATTCCAGCCTTGCATGATGCCCTCCCATCATATGCAGCTGAAACAAACTGAGTCATCAGGGTATTATTAATAACTCATGTTTTTATTTTGTAGCCACTGCTTTCCCAAATAATCTTCTCACTTACTATTTTAAAATACTTAGAAATATAGTCTTTATAAATATCTTTCTCTCATTTTTTTTTACCTAAAATAATTTTGGTAATCTGACAGCAGAGACAGTCAGGTTTTAATTATTATGTGAGTATGTGGATATGTGCCATGTACATGGGCAGGTGTGGGGATGTGGGGATATGCCATATACATGGGCAGGTGCCTAAGAAGGCCAGAGGCATCAGATCCACTGAAGCACTGAAGCTGGAGTTGCAGGCAGTTGTTAGCCACCGGACATGGGTGCTGGGAACAGAACTCAGGTCCTCTGGAAGGGCAGGAAGCACTCTTTTTTATGTGTAGGGGGTTTTGCCCACAGGTATGTCAATCAATGTACACGTTTGCCTGATGCATGCAAAAGCCAGAAAGGGGCATCAGATTCCCGGGAACTAGAGCTACGGACAGTTCTGGACCTCCAGGTAGATGCTGGAAATCAAACCTGGGTCCTCTCGAAGAGCAACAGGTGCTCTTAACTGCTGAGCCATCCCTCCAGTGCACAGGACAGGTTTAATAGTAAAACCCCAACTGAAAGGAGAGAAAAGGCTGGGTGTGGTGGCCTTTAATCCCAGCACTCAGGAGACAGGCAGGCAGATCTCTGAGTATACACCAGTCTGGTCTACACAGTGAGTTCCAAGCCATCCAGAGCTACATAATGAGACCCTGTCTCAAAAAAACAAAGAAAAGAAAGAAGGAAAGAGGAAGGAGGAAAGAAGGAAGGAGGGAGGGAGGGAGGGAGGGAGGGAGGGAGGGAATGAGAGAATCTTAGAAAAATACTAAATCAGTATCTTTCCACTTAGAGGCATTTTCAAATGGTTCATAGGCTCATTTGTCTTAGAACTATAGGTATACTTCCATCCCCACTTAGACGTCAGGATACAGCCTGTATCACAAGCGGTTCTAGAGTGCAGACACCAGGGACATAACAGGTGCCTTAGGTGAATGCAATGGACCAATGAATGGGTTGGGTGAAGAGACATCTGTATCACTCACACTCAATGGCATTTGGAATAATCATTTTATTGTTCTAGATACACATATGGAAAGCCCGTTCCCGGTCTGGTGACAATTAGCGTGTGCAGAATGTATTCACGATACCGCTCTAACTGCCATGGCCAAAATTCACAAAGTATCTGTGAAGAATTCAGCAAACAAGTATGTATGACCTGCTCTCTAGTTCTTACTTTCTCCTGAGCTACAGTGCTAAATGCAACACAACTAGGGATACATTTGAAATGTTGGGGTAGGGGAAGAAATGTAAGAATGGCTGATTGTGGTAGGAGCCCAGGTGGAGAATGGAGCTCGTGAATCTGTGATTGCATGCATTTGGCCAATTCTGTGATTTTTCTTGCCAATAGCAATCAACATGCCAAGCTCTAAAAGAATAAAGAAGTGTTCAAAGCTGGCTTTTGTCACAGAATAGGTCAGGTGTTAAGAACTGCAATAGTGTGAGGATCCAGTAGCATGTCATTTCCAAATGATAAAGGGAAAATAATGAACAGTGAATGAACATCTGGCCCAGAAGGGGAAGACCTAGAAAATAGCAATTAGAGGACTTATTATGTCACAGAGGAGGGTTAATGAGAACAATTAAGGAAAACAATTGAGAGTAGAATATGTCGCATTGAAAACATTTGATGTAGCCGAGTGTGGAGGCTCACACCTGTAATCCTAATAATTGAGAATCAATGGCAAGAACAGGAATTCAAGGTCAACTCTGGCTATATAATGAGGTCGAAGCCAGTGTGAGCTGAAAGAGTATCTCTCTCAAAAAATACTGGTGGGCCTAGAAAGATGGCTCACTGGTTAAGAGTACTGGCTGCTCTTCCTGAGGATCTAGGTTCAACTCCCAACACCCACATGGTAGCTCACGACTTTCTGTAACTCCCATTCCAGGAGTATCCAACACCCTCTTCTGAAAATGTCCTGATAAAACCCACTACCATATACAATGAATATCGACTAGTATATATAAATATATTATATTAAAAAAACACACATCCCATAGTCAATGTTGAGCTACAGGTAGTTATGGAAGCCTCTTAGAAAATGTTATGCCTGAGATGAGTTTTGAGAAGCAAGGACTGTTGACCAAGGAAAGAATGGAGAGTAGAATATCATCATTTGAGGAGCAACACATGCAAAGAGCTATAATTACAAAATATGATGGTACACTTGGAAACTCTAGGACAGTTGATGTAGTAGAAAGAGGATCCATTTTTGGAAGAGAGGGGAGGCAAAGGCTGGCTATAAATAACCCAGAGATTAACAAAGAAACCATTCATCCTTGGAGTTGGGAAAGGATACACATCAAATTGTTGTGGAATATTAGTTTAAGATGTGTTACATTCATTTGTGCTGTGGAATATTTGTTTAATGATGCAAAGATATGTTGCATTCTTTTATGTTGCATTTGTTTAACTCTGTAAAGCTGTGTTACTTTGCCTGCCTAAAACACCTAATAAAGAGCTGATGTCCAATAGCCAGGCAGGAGAAAGAAATAGGTGGGGCTGGTGGGCCGAGGGAATAAATAGGAGGAGAAATCTAGGGAAGAGAGGAGGAAGGAGTGAAAAAAGGAGAGGAGGACACTAGGGGCCAACCACACAGCCACGCAGCCACACAGCCACACAGCCACCCAGCCACACAGTCACACAGCCACACAGCCAGACATGGAGTAAGAAGAAAAGAAAGATATGTAGAATAAAGAAAGGTTAAAAGCCCAGATGCAACATAGTTAAAGAGAAGTGGGATAATTTAAATTAAATTAGAAAAGCTCGCTAGAAACAAGCCAAGCTAAGGCCGGGCATTCATAAGTAAGAATAAGTCTCCCTGTGTTTACTGGGGAGCTGGGTGGTGGGCCCCCAAAGAGTAAAAAAGCCAACTCCGCCACATAGGATTGTGAATGCTTAAAGTGTTTTTGTAAACTTATAACTGGCATTTTGACGGCAAACCAGAGAACTTGGGAACTCTCTCCCCTTCTCTTCAGGCAGATGATAAAGGATGTTTCAGACAAGTTATAAAAACCAAAGTATTTCAGCCAAGACAGAAGGGCTATGACATGACAATAGAAGTGGAAGCCAAAGTCAAAGAGGAGGGAACAGGTCTGTATGGTTCTTAATAAATTTCAATTAAGTGGGAAAGTATCAGACTTCCGTTCCTTTTGGAATACTTTATAGATTCTGCATATTATGAAAATGACAGGTCACTGATCTCATAAATTTAATATATGTGTGTTTGTGTGCATGTGTAGAGCTGTGATCTAATTCCCATAAGGAATGTGGAATGTAAGGGAAAAGTGGATTTGAAGAGTAGTTAATTCTAATGCAGACAGAAGGGGGCTCTTAAGGTCAAATCTGATGCACTTTGTGGAGTATGAGCGACATTTCGAAAGATTAACAATGAGCAGGAAAGCACACCAGCACACTCATTCTCAGAATGGAGGAAATTGAGCCAGACAATGAGGAGCTTACACTTGGTTCTGAAAATCATGGCTAGCTTCAGATATATTTTATAATGGCCTAAATAAACTGATTTTTTAATAAGACTAACAGAAGATACAGGATAAATAAAAATGTATTGGATATGATGCCTCATAAAATTATTCAAAGATTACTGTGACATCCTGTAATAATGGAGGAGAGCTGAGGTAGAGGTAGAAGGTGAGTTTGGGATACACAAAACTGAATTCTCTCTTTTTTTTTTTCAGGAATGGAACTATCTGGTTATGGATCTTGTGAAATAACAAATACCTTAAGCAAACTGACATTTACTAAAGTGGATACACATTACAGGCCTGGACTACCTTTCTTTGGGCAGGTAAAATATTTTCCCCCATAATCACACTTAGGGGCATGAAATATTCCTATGTGCATACATTTGCGTGGTGGTGGTGGTACATATAAATGTGTATACATCTTTACATGAGTGTAGGCACACATGTATTAAGTGGGTACAGGTGTGCTTGTCTTGTACATGTAGGGAGGCTCAAGGTTAACATCAGGAGTCTTCCTCAGGTGTTCTCCACCTTATTCATCGAGGCAGGGTCTCTCACTTGAGCTCAAAGCTTGACGATTCTGGCTAGTCTAGCTAGCCAACTTACTTCAGGCCTCTGCTCTCTCAACAGTCCAAGCTCTGGAATCACAGGCAGGCTGTCATGTCACTCAGCATTGATGCTGTGCTGAGAATCTGAACCCTCATGCATGCTTAAGAAGCATTTCATCCACTGAGCCATCTGTCCAACCCCAGGCATAAGACTTCTAAGAAAAAAAAAATTTGATTGCAAAATCAAAATATTGCTGGGTGGTGGTGGTGGTGGTGGTGGTGGTGGTGGTGGTGGTGGTGGCAACGGCGGCCGAGGTCTTTAATCCCAGCACTCGGGAGGCAGAGCCAGGCTGATCTCTGTGAGTTTGAGACCAGCCTGGTCTACAGAGTGAGTTCCAGGAAAGGCACAAAGATACACAGAGAAACCCTGTCTCGAAAAACCAAATATATATATATTACAACAATTATTTAGAATAAAGAAATTATAGCAAATTTCACATTTCTCATAGATAATGAAATGTTGGAAGACAAAGCAAAAAAAAAATTTTTTTTTTTGTTTTTCAATACAGGGTTTCTCTGTGTAGTTTTGGTGCCTGTCCTGTAACTCGCTCTGTAGACCAGACTGGCCTTGAACTCACAGAGATCTGCCTGTCTCTTCCTCCCAAGTGCTGGGATTAAAGGCATGCGCAACCACTGCCCAGCTAACAAAGCAAATTTTTAAACAACTTCCTTTCACAAATCTGTAATACATTTTTTTTCTGTGTGGCTTGGCTGTGTTCTCTTTGATTCCTTCTTTATAAAGAAGGCTTTTCTAATGCAGTTTCCCACAGAAATAATTTTCAAAAAGTAATTGTGTTAGTCAGCTTTCCATTACTATAACATGATACCTGAAACTATTAACTTATAAAGGTAAAAAGTTTATTTGGGCCCAGAATCTTGGAAGTCTCAGTCCATTATGAGTTGTGTCTGTGGTAGCACCACCCATTACAGTGGAAGCATAAAGAAAGACAAATTCTCCCGAGAGAGAGAGAGAGAGAGAGAGAGAGAGAGAGAGAGAGAGAGAGAGAGAGCCAAGATTCCAGCCTCCTTTGACAACAAACTCCCAATGACCCAAGGATTTCAAACCCAGCCCCTCATACCTATAACACTACACTGGGATTCAAGACTTCAGGAGACATTTAACATCCAAAAGATATCAACAATCTTTTGTCTAGATGATGAAATTTTTAATTACTGAAAACTGTTAAAGACTTCTTTTTCAGTGCTAAAGTAATGTTTTGTCACAGCAAGGTTGGTAAACTTTAGGACAGACAACACAATTGCGTAAACTGCTTGTTTCCTTTTACATAATATAGCTAAGATTTTAGGCATTTCTCAAATTTGCCTTCATAGCAAATAATATTTGGACTAAGTTTATAAGCAATTTCCTCATTCATGTTTTGAATTTTATATCTGAATTTGACTTTTACACTTTCTTCATTCATTTTAATATTTCATAACAAGTTGGAAAAGACATTGATAAGCATGTTGTGGTTTGGCAAGGCCATCACAGGTAGAGAGAAAATCATGAGAAAACTGAAACATGTGAGTTCTCTAGAAATTCAGGATAGAAAGGAGGATGGTGGCCGACCAGCTGGGGGAAGTCAGGGCAGGAACTCAAGGCAGGAACCTGGAGGTAAGAACAGAAGCAGAGGATGTGGAGGAGTGCTGCTCACTGGCTTGCTCCTTATGGTTTGATCCGTTTACTTTTTAAGGCAACCCAGGACCACCTGTCCAGGGGTGGGCCCACTCACAATGGACCGGGCCCTCCCACATCATCAAAAAGGAACCACAGACTTGTCCACAGGCCAGTCTGCTGGGAGCCATTTTCTCAGTTCAGCTTCCCTCTCCTACAAGGACTCTAGCTTGTATCACACTGACATAAAACTAACCAGCACACAGAGTTGGGGAGATGGCTCAGTGGTCTTCCTGCGGACCTGAGTTCAATTCCCAGCACCCACATAAGGCAGATTACAACTACCTGTAACTCCAGCCCCAGGGGGATCTGACACCTCTGACCTCTGAGAACTTGCATTTATGTGCATACACACACACACACACACACATACACATAATTAAAATAATTAAAAAAAAATCTAAAAACAAAAAACTAACCAGTACAAACCTTATCTTATTAAAAAAAAATAAGCTATGATGGATAGGTTCATTAACTACATATAATCATTCTACTTTACATGAAGTTATCAAGACATAACATCACATTACACTCTAAAATTGTACATTATTGTTTTTCAATTAAAAATGATAAAATAAGGGGCTGGAGAGATGTCTCAGTGCCTAAGAACACTAACTGCACTTTCAGAGGACCCAGGGTCAATTTCCAGCCCCCATATGGCAACTCACAACTACTTCGAACTCAGGGGATCTGATGTCCTCTTCTGAATTCCGAGGGCACCAGGCACACACATGGCACACAGACATCCATGCAGACCAAACACCCATACACATAAAATAAAATGTAAATAAAATCAATTAAAAAATAAACTATCAGTTTTCAATATCATGAGGAATATTTAAAAGAAACATCACAGTTTAAGACTCAGAAAGTGTCTCATTTGCAGATGCAAAGATCTTCAGTAAAGGACATGGACAGAGCAAGAGCAAAGACATAAACAGAACGGACTGGAAAGATGGGGTGGCTAGCTTGCCTTTGTAACCAGCTATTGCTTTCCTGTTTCTAGCTTCTTCTTGTTGACGAGAAGGATCAGCCAATGCCCAACAAAAACATATCTGTCCGAGTGGATCTAGCTAGGTACCAGTCCACGTTTACTACTGATGAGCATGGCTTGGTCAACATTGTCATTGACACTTCCAACTTCACATCTTCATTCATAGGTTTCTCGGTAAGTGGAAATGAGAATGTGAAGCTGAAAAGGCGTAGGTCATGGGACTACACAACTTAAGGATGTGTGAGAGGTACATGAACTCTAGGGACAAGAAAATGTGATAGGAACTGAACAGTGTGGGAACTTCAATCATGAAGGCCAGAAAGTTCTGTGTCAGGGACACTTACAGTGTAGTCTGCCTTTGGGAACACTGGAAAGATCATCCTTGTATTGGCTTGAAGTTTTTAATATTTTCATAGTTCTATTACCAGTTAGATTGTCCCTGATTCCTTTAGCATAATAGAATTTTTGTTTGTGCTTGAACATTCAAATAATCTTAAGCAATAAAACCATAAGAAGACACAGCAGTAGCCACCTACACAAGGCCTCTACACAACTGGGCCTATCAACACTTCATAACAGATGGGGGAGCGGCTCATAAGGCCCCACCCTGCTGGAGGAACTGATTGTTAAAGGTTTCGGGGGGAGAGGAACCATATTCCTCAGTGAGGTAGCCATTACCCCACTCAATCAAATAACCCCCAAATGGGTCACACACAAAAAATTCACAAAAATAGGAGAGAGGCTCGTGAAGAAGAGACTTAGTGGGATGGCTAATGGGATAAGAAAGAATAATAAGATGGAGGACTTGATCAAAGAATATATGCATGAAATTATAAAAGAATAAATAAGTAAAGGAAAATAAGTCCTCTGACATGCAAATAATGAAATAAATCTATACAGAACAAATTATACATGAGCCTTGCAAGCATAGTGAGCATTTCTTCCTTCCTCCCTCCTTCCCTCCCTTTCTCTCTCCCTCTCTCCCTCCCTTCTTCCTTTCTTTCTTTCTTTTTGGGAGAGGGGGTTTCAAGACAGCCCTGGCTGTCCTGGAACTCACTCTGTAGACCAGGCTGGCCTCAAGCTCACAGAGATTCACCTGCCTCTGCCTCCTGAGTGCTGGGATTAAAGGTGTGTACTACCACGCCCGGCTCACGGTGAGCATTTCTTAATCCCAGCACTCAGGAGACAGAAGTAAGAAGACTGTGAGTATTAAAGCCAACCTGAGATACAAAAGCTTAAATAATCTTAAGAGGGAAGTGGGAAAACAGTTATTGAACAGTCTTTTTACAAAAAGATAGCATATAGGTAGGTAGGTAGATGGATGGATGGATGGATGGATAGATAGATAGATAGATAGATAGATAGATAGATAGATAGATAGATAGATAGATGATAGGTAAATAGATGATAGATAGATAGATAGATAGATAGATAGATAGATAGATAGATAGATAGACAGATAGATAGACAGACAGATAGATGGACACTAAATACAAATGTGTAATTTGTTTTTCCTCTAGGCCGTCTATAAGGAAAACAATATGTGTTATGATAACTGGTGGCTTGACGAATTTCACACACAAGCACATCATTCTGCAAATCGTATCTTTTCCCCAAGCAAGAGTTATATTCATCTTGAACTTGTTTTTGGTACTTTGGCCTGTGGGCAAACTCAGGAGATTCGGACATACTACATCTTAAACAGAGATATCCTGGGGGATGAAAAAGACTTAACCTTTTACTATCTGGTAAGGATGAGAGTCGCTGCATCTCTTCCTAATTGTATAGACTACAAATTTACTAGGTTCCTCTCAGAATAACAGGTTTTATAGAACATCACTGTTAATGTTGAAGTTTTTGTTTTTTATATGGGAAGATAAACTGCTTCCTATGAAATTATTTATGCTTTAGTTCATCATTTGTCCTGTTCACCACTGAAATATTGACTCTAACATTTCTTTATTTCTATGAAAAAGTAACATATTTACAATAGTTATAATTTCCATTTCATCCTTTCATGGTTCTGGGACCTTGGATACTTTACTAGACTTCATCCTCAAAAATGAGTATCGGTTATCTCACCTGAACACTGGAAACAGTAGTCCACATAATTATTATACAAATTGAATTATTCAAATTACTTTATTTGAGAATAAGCTTTGTTTATATTAAAATAAGATGCTTTTTGTTTCTTTTAAAATAAGAGTACAAACAGAGGATACTCATATTTTACATTTGCCTCCACTGTATACCTCACATACAGTGGGTGCTAAAAATAGATATCTACTTTTCACACATTCCTAGGAATAGTAAATACTGAACAAAATAAAACTCAAAATTATATGTTTGCTATTTAAAACATCTATATGTACATATAGGAAATGGTAGGAGTGAAAAATAGTGATAAAAATAACTTCTGAGTTGCAGTAACATGATAATTATATATCATGAGTATGTTAAAGATGGGCAGACAGACCTTCCAATGGTAATGAGTGAGTTTCCCTCTGCCTTTAGGTCAAAGCAAGGGGAAGCATCTTCAGCTCAGGAAGTCACATGTTATCACTTGAACAAGGAGGTAAGCATCTTCCCCTTTCTTATGTTCTCTCATCTGGCCAAACCCTCAACAACGGGACAAGCTAGTGCCTCTCTCACACTACAGGAAGTGCATGGCAGCTCTCAGTGATCCAGTGAGGAAGCTGTTCTGAACACTTCTACATTTTTAGGTTTATATTCCTGCAATAAAATATATTAATTTGTAACTATTTTCAAAAAGCAAAAAAAAAAAAAAAAAAAAAAACATCCAAATGTGAAAAAAAAATGACCAAGGAAAACTTTTCTTCATGTCTTTGTGCGTCAGATCCCTATTGCTGCCCTGACGGGTTACCACAGATGTCCCAGCATATAACACATTTCTGTTCAGAAGTCTCACTGGGCTCAAGTCATTGTGTTGGCAGGACTGCCTTAGATCTGCTAGAGAAGACCCAATGTCCTTGCCTCTCCTACGTGCCTCTACTATGCCTTGATTAGTGGTCCCTGCCTTTGCCTTCAAAGCCAGCAGCGCTCCATCTTCAAATCTCATCTGCCTTAGATAACCTCCCTTTTATAACCATGCTTATAATGACCTTGACGCCACCTGGATAATCCAAACCAATTTCCACATCTCAAGGTCCTGGTTTAGCACCTGCAAAGGCTTTACCGCCACTTAACATACTCAAAGATTTCCGGGATCCGATATCCAGGGTTAAAATTCTGCTTACCACAATCATTCCAAAATCCACAAATACATCTAACAAATCAAATTCAATCTCTCGATCAACAAATGCCTCAATCCATTTGCAGCCTTTATGTGAGCCCCCAAATCTCATGTATCATACACAGCAAAACAGTCCCAAATTGTGTCATCTCAAATCTTCTAAATAAAGCATAAGGTCTTGGATACAATCCATGCCAAGAAGAAAAATCATCTATCTGGAGCAGCGTTTTTCAACCTTTGGGTCACAACCCCTTTGGGGGTCACATATCAGCTATCCTGCATATCAGATATTTACATTATGATTCATAACAGTAGCAAATTACAGTTATGAAGCAGCAATGAAATAATGTTATAATTGGGGGTCACCATAACATGAGGAACTAGATTAAAGGGTCACAGCATCAGGAAGGTTGAGAACTGCCCATCTGCAGAGATATGAAATCCACCCAGACAAACAGCCCCAGATTCCAACACAGACCAGTTCTCTTTGGTTGGTGTCTCTGTCCTCTTAACTTAACTCTTAACTTGCAACTAGCCTTTCTTTTCCACTAAGGACAGCATGTGCCTGCAGCTGGTTAGTGTCCTGTACACAGAGGGATCAAACGCTCTCCTTCCGTTCACCCTCTCTGTCCCTTTCATGACAGTCTCTTTTAGGATAAATCCTTCAGGAATCATGTCATCCTCCTGTGTGCCACAACAACATTATATATCCTGCTAGACAAAAGGTTTCTCCATAGATTTTTCCTGGATAGTTCCAGCTCTCATTCTGGCTTTTACTGCTGAGATGGAATGGGGAAGCTGTGAGTCATGCATATAACCTCTTCAAAGGAACTTGGAAGAGCTTTGTGACTGAACATGGCGGCATTTTCACTTTTCTATGACATTAGCAAGAAGCTGCCCGCCATGTGGTTTCTCTCTCTCTAGAGGGTAATTTCCAGAAATCGCTCTGTGTTCTTTAGAAGCTGGATAATATGAGAGTTTCCAGAAATTATTCTTCTTATCAAATCCTGCTTGTTTCATGGTGAACAACCATCTTTCCACTTTCCCACCAAATTTTACTGCACATAGCAGGAAGAAGTCAGGCTGGGCACACTTTTCCTTTTTCAGTTCTTTCTTTACATTTGTTTTCCACATAGCTTCAGGACACAGTTCCGCTGGAATTTCTGCCATTGTCCATCAAGAATCCCCCTCCTCTGTAATCTTCACTGGCAGCCATCTTTCTAAGTCTTTCATCATTATAGTCATCAGTATTTATTGGTCACACAAAGTAATGGTTTTACAGTAATGTCTCCATGCCTGTGTGGATCATACTTTGGCCTCCATTCTTTTGCCCAGGCTCCTCTCCCCTTCACCTTCCTGGACTCTTCTTACAGTTTTGAGTCATTAATTTTCCCCATATAAGAGAAACAAACTGCACAATACTAATCTCTTTGTCTGGCTTGTTTTGTTTAACATAATGTCCTCCAGTTCCACCCATTTTCCTGACAATGACATAATTTCATTATTCTTGGTGACTGAATAATATTCCACTCTCTGTAGGGACCACATTTTCTTGCCTGTTCATCTGTTGATGGACGCTTAAGTTGGCCCCATATACTGGTGGTAGTGAATAGAGCTACTGTAAGTGTGGATATTTTGCCGGGCGGCGGTGCACGCCTGTAATCCCAGCACTTGGGAGGCAGAGGCAGGTGGATCTCTGTGAGTTCGAGGCCAACCTGGTCTAAAGAGCTAGTCCAGGACAGGCTCCAAAGCTACAGAGAAACCCTGTCTCGAAAAACCAAAAGAAAGAAAAGAAAAGTGTGGATAGGCAGGTGTCTCTTGAATGCTGATTTCATGTCCGTTTGATAAACACTCAAGAGTGGTACAGCTGATTCATATGATTGTTCTATTTTCATTTTGTTGAGGATCCTGCACGCTGTTTACCACAGTGACTACACTAACTTAAAGGTTCCTTCTCCTCCACATCTTTGCTAGCATTCCGGTTGTTTATGTTTTGTTTTGTTTTGCCATTCTGACTGGAATGAAATGGGATCTCAATGTAAATATGACTTGCATTTCCCTGCCTCCTGAGTAGGCTGTGTCTTCACTTCTGAACTTAGTATGCTTCTACAGTCTTCCACCTCTGAAAGCAGTTGCTCTCTGGTTGATTTGATTTTCCCTCTGCTGGAGTAGTGACTAATGGCTGCCTCCAGCACCATCTCAGATCTTCAAACACCCGGCACCTACTTTTAATCTCTGTGTTTTTCCCAACCATCTGTTTATACCATGTTATACCTTCGCTAAAATGTCTACTGGACCAAGACTCTCACTCTGCACACTTCCTAGAGGACTTTTAGCATCATAATTCATCAGTTCAGTAAAGATGCAGCATCCTCTACTCTAAAGTCAGGCTCAGCAAGGGGTCCTCTTAGGTCTATAGCATCTCTTCATTCTCTGCAGTCTCATTACAGTTGATTATCAGTGTTTGTGAAATAAACAGAAAGGGCTGAAGAAACGGAACAGTGGCTAAGAGCACTAGCTGCTCTCCCAGAGGTCCCAGGTTCAATTCCCAGCACCCACATGGTGGCTCAAAACCATCTGTAACTCCAGTTCCACGGAAATCTGATACCTTCTTCTGGTCTTTGTGGGTACTACACACATATGCTGCACAGACATGCATGAAGGCAAAACACTCATACACATAAAATAAAATATAAAAACCTTTAGAAATAGAGCCATAGACTAAATGGGTTTTCCTGCTTAACTGGGGACAGAATTAAAGCTGGATCTATAAAAATTTCATTTGTCCAGCATGCGTTTATCAAGCACCACTCTGTGCAAAGTGGTAAAAGTGCAAATACTTCTTACATGATCCAAACACAAATTCTTAACTATTCTAAGAACTGTTCTGATATAAAATTGAGACTCCACTCCTAATCCATAATCTTGAATCTTCTCCATTCTCCAGTCAAAGGAACGTTTTCCTTCCCAATTCAAGTGGAGCCAGGCATGGCTCCCGTGGCTCAGCTGCTCATGTATGCGATTTTACCTGATGGGGAAATTGTCGTCGATACTCAGAAACTCCAAATCGAAAACTGCTTTGCCAATAAGGTGGGTGGTTATGTCTAAGCCTGATCCTTTTGTTCTATCCTTTATAAGTGTGGGCAATAAATAAGTAATATCTATTTTTTTTTTTTTTTTTTTGAGACAGGGCCTCTCGATGTAGCCCTAGATGTCCAGGAACTTACTAGGTAGATCAGGTTGACCTTGAACTCACAGAGATCCACCTGCCTCTGCCTTCCAAGTGTTGGGATTAAAATGGCTTAATATCTACTTTAAAGCCATCATGGGGGGCTCTTAAACTTTCCCCCCAGGAATCTCTCAAGTTAGGGAGAGGAATCACACCTTAACCGTCTAGTGGCACTGCCCAAAGCATGTGGCCACAGGCAGAATTTTTTTGATTTAAAAGACTCAAGTGAATTTCAAAATCTATTCTACAACAAACTTTAAAAATATATATATGTGTGCATATGTATTGTTGTTTTATTTTATGCTTATGGTGTCTTGCCCAGATGTATGTCTGTGCACCATGTGCGTGCTTGTTACCTCTGAAGGCCAAAAGAGGCCATGGGATCTCCTGGAACTGAAGTTACAGATAGCTGTGAACTGTCATGTGGGTGCTGGGAAGTAAAGCCAGATCCTCTGGAAAAGCAGCCAGTGCTCTTAACTGCTGAGCCATCTCTCCAGGCCCCATCTCAAACTTTTAAATTATTTTGAAATATTTTGTTACCAATTTTCCATCGAAAATGCTGTTTCACCAAGCTGTGTAATACCTTGTCCCACTGACCCTCCGGCACGCCTCCATCCCATTCCCTGCAGAAGAGTGTGTGTTTTCACTTAACATGAGTTCCTCAATATAGACAGGAAAGTATACAGGGTTAAAAATATAAAAAAAATTAACTTCTCAGTGAGATCTTTTATTATTTTTAAAAATTATAAAGCTGTAGTGTGAGTCCCACTAAGCTATAAGTAAGTTTTATCCGAGCAGAATTGGCACTGGTTATCTGACTTTTTACTATTCTGGTAGCGAAGTCTTTGAATTATCAACCAGAAGGGCTCTGTCAGCTTCAGCCACTTTTTGTTTTTCAAAACCATAACTAGGAAGATAATATCTATTTACAGCAAGTAGGCATTTCTGCTGTGGCAACTGTATTCACACTACATACATACATACATACATACATACACATACATACATACATTCATATATACATATATACATATATACACATACATACATATATACACATACATACATACATATATACATACATACATACATACATTACATATGCAGTGATCTAAGCAAAAGACAGTGTGGATTGCTATATAAATCTTCACTTCCATCTAAGGAATGCTGTTAAAGCTGGGCATTGTGTCAGGAGCACAGTGTAGGTTCTGTTTGGGTCTTCTGTGAATTTCGTATCAAGTGAGCCTCCTGCATCAGCCTCTAGGGTCTTCTGCTGTGAGTTGTGTGCAGTTGCACGAGAAGTCTTGGGAGAGCTAAGCTTTGGCTCACCCCACTTTAGCAGTGGGCAACAGTCGCTAGCCAGCGAGTCAGTCTTACCTCTTCACACTCCAGACTTGAAACTATCTGACAGCATATAATTGACAGAAAAAAACAATTACTTTCTACTCAGAATCAAATCTGAAAAATGCCTCTGACTTTGCAAAGCATTGGAAAATCTCTGTGTAACACCACAAAAATTCTTGATAGGAGCTAAAGGCTATTCAAAGTTACAGTCACTTCAGATCAAATGCCTTTTCACTTACCGTTGATCAAAGACGAAAAAAAGCATAAACAATCACACAAAGGAAGACTCACGCAGCACCCACAAGAACGCTGACTGCCACAAAAATGCCAGAACGGGTCTAGTGGAGTTACCAGTTTAGGCCCCCGACAGGATGGTGAGCAAAGAGAGGCCTTGAGAGAGTGAGAAAGGCCCTGGAGTCAAACAGGGCAGCGTCTCTTCAAACCAGTGTGTTTTTTCCAGTCTTTTATTGGACAGAGAAAAACTGTTTTCTATTTAAAATGTCTTCCCTTTAAAGCAGTGTGTACACATTAAATATGTATTAGTTTAAATTGTTTTTCTGGCAGCCAGCCCTGCAAATGTTTGCCCGTAGTGGAGAGATAAGTAAGAGGAAACAACGCAGGTCAGGCACAGTGGATGCCTCTGATCCCAGCACTTGGGGGCTTCAGCAGGATCCTTGGGGTACATAGTGAGTTCAAAGCCAACCTGGGATATGTGCAAGATCCTTTCTCAAATTAATTTAAAAATAAGTCAAATGAAAAAAAAAGGAGAAAAACGGTTTTGAGTCCAGTGCTGGAAACTGCTCAGTCCCTAGAATGAACAGCTGTGATGTTAGTTTTCTTCTTCCTCTACTACGGAGTCACATACCCCCACGAGAGATGGTTTTCCATGTGGCTCAGGTGGAATGAAAGTGGCACATTGAGGTTTTTACTTCAGATGTGATGGCCCTGTGGTCTAATCTACATCCATGCAAGTCCTTTCTCCTAAAAAACACAAAGCAAAAGTTCTTGTGTGTCACATCATCAGGCTTTGGGGCATTTTGCATCATATAATTCCATTATAACAAAGGTATAGGTCATTCTTTTCCTTTGAGAACTTCCCTCAAATATTTTACTATTAATCTCAACTAGATGTAACTATTCATTAAGAACAACACTGATTATCGTATCTAGTACGGCTTCCTTCAAGACATGCATTAAATTTCTCTTCTGGTTCTTATATCAGTAAGCAATTTTGCAGTTTCCTAACATGCCCATTTCTTGGCAAATAATATTTTCAGTTGGTCATAATCTCAAATAACTAACTTGTTCATCTGATATAGACATGAACTTATTTTAATGAACTTAAATTTTCTAAAAAATAAAAAGATACTCAGAAGTCTCCACAAGCAATGTTTTCATAACAAGTTGGTTTTGAGATATGCAGATGTTTACCTCATGACAGCATAATTTCAAACCACCCCTTTGTTGCAGTGAAATTCGCTGACCCAAGTAATATCACTGAGCACACTGATATTTGAGTTAGAAAACAAACAGGCTTCTGAGGGAAAACAATAAAATAAAATAAAATAAAGCAAAAACTAACACACTGGAATAAGCCAAAACAAAGAAGCAGGAGGAAAAGAAATTTAAGAAATACCTTCATCAATGGAAGAAACCAACAACTCCCTCATGCATGACTCTCTATTAGCCAAAGCACAATCAAAACTCTTAACAAAATTCTGTACAATTTTCCATTGTTCCATTCTTCTGTACTAAGCCTTTAGATGCTTTTTAATTTTTATAAACTTGTTAATTTCCCAACATATATCTTAAAATATATATTGGATATTTAATTTTTGATGGCCCGGTAAATCCCAAGTAGCCATCAGCCCTGCCCTACTTTAGAATATCATGTGACCATGACTGGAGGAAGTTAGGTGTTTCATCTCACACAGATAGGTCAGCCACCAAAGGTGTGTGTCTTCCTTCTCAGGAGTGTTCTCAATGCCATACTGGATTCTATTTCAGTGGGATCAACATCAACTTTCTACCAGTTACGGAAAGAAAGAAAACCAAGTAAACCCGAGCCACACTTCCATGCTGAATGGAGAGTTCCTAGAAAATTCTCTGCTGTAAACCTGCTATAAGATAGAGAAAGAAAGAGGAAGTGAAAAACTCAGCATGGTCTGGAGCCGAGAGTCAAGACCATAATGTTCTGGTTTTTTGTGTGTTTTTTTTTAGAGATTGCTATAATCATATGCTTTTTGCAGGTAAATCTGAGTTTCTCACCAGCGCAGAGCCTCCCAGCCTCTGATGCCCACCTGAAGGTCACAGCCACGCCCTTGTCCCTCTGCGCCCTTCGTGCGGTAGACCAGAGCGTGCTGCTACTGAAGCCGGAAGCCGAGCTCTCGCCTCAGACAGTGAGTCCCATTGCGGTCTTGGGTGGTACAGAATGCTGACACGATAAGACCAGTTTGTAAACCGTAACCACAAAGGACAAGATCCTCAGAGTGATAAGTGTGATGTGACTCCCTGGCAGTCTCTGAGCAAAGTGCTTTACAGAATCGTCTCTTTTCACCCTGGCTTTTCTGAAGGGAATAATAATTTGGGATAGGTCTTATAACTTCATGTTATGCATAATAAAACACAAGTAGGATGTGTTAATTATGGAGAGAGCATGCTACGATATGTTTTAGAGAAATTAAATTTCTTCCAATCCACTTGCCAACCTCTCACAACTCAAGGATTATGTAACATGCCACACTTTTCTGCTTTCCCTGAGATTAAGCACTTACTGATCTTAAGAGTGGACAAAAACAGTTTCTTTTCAAACATGTCTTTAAAACATCTTTGCGTTTTCAAAGAAGCATCCCTGCTTACCGGCTTTGTGGTGTCTTTACCAGTTTTACAGTTATCCTCTGTTTCTTGCCTCCGGGTCCAGCACCGCTGAGACCAGGATAACCAGTCAGAAGTGATCCGGTTGTCTCTGTGCGCCTATTATCCACCCTCCCTCTGTACCATTAACCGGAAAACTGAAAGCCTCTAGCTCTCTTCTTCATATTCTTCTACATCAGATCAGTTTTAATAAATTCACTTTTTTTTTTTTTAGAAAGAGTCTCATATGGCCCAGGCTGACATTGAACTCATAAGACAGCTAAGGATGACCTTGAGTTTTTGATCCTCATACCCCCACCTCCGAAGTGCTGGGATTACAGGCCTGCACCAGCACGCCTGGTTTGTGCAGTGCTGGGGAGGAAATCCAAGGCTTCATGCCTGTTAGTTACACAAGCATTCTACCAATTGAGCTATATCTCCATCTTTTCATCCCTTTAAATACTGTATTTGTGCACAAGAGGATTAAAACCTTTGACGTTCAGTCTCTTTCTATGGTTCTCTGCCTCTCCCCTTATATCATACACATAGCAAGGGTGAATAAAACCACAGTGGTTTAAATTCTATATTGAGCATTATCACATTTTAAATTCTTTAAACAGTAGAACAAGAAACAGTGTCCCTTTGTTCTCCTCCAATGCACAGATCTATAATTTGCTGCCAGTGAAGTCTCCCCAGGGTGTTCAGTACGGTGGCCCAATGTATGAGTACAGTGAAAACTGCATCAAAGCACCCGAAATCACTCACAATGGGATCGTGTACATACCGAAGCAGGACCCAAGCGATGACGACGCCAACAGCGTTTTTGAGGTAATCCCTCCTGAAACTCACCAGAGCTGATTTATAAGTCTGTGTTGAGATGTAAAATCCAGGAGCTTCTAAACACTGCAGTCTGATCCTTCCCTCTCTAACAAAACAATAATCAACAGAAAAGAATCTCAAATGCATGGGCTTGAGATTTGTACACATACATATCTACCAGGATTTCTCTAGCACCTTAAGTGGCGAGTGGTTTACTGTTTCTCTCTATATCTATGTATGTAGCTATGTAGATATATATATATATATATATATATGTATGTATGTATATATATATGAGAAAGAGAGATTAATAGATGAGCACTTTCTTGGCAGCCACAATAGAAGTCATTTGCACAATAAATTCTTTAGAGTTTCTAAAGTATCTGTATATACATTGTTTGTTGATCATATTCCCCAAGTATTGCCTCACCCTCCCTTTCCTCACCCCCCCACTTCCCATGAGTCCCCTTTGTCCCCCAGGCCATTTTGCTTCTACTTTCATTAACATATGTAGACAGAACTTTATGTATCTTTATAAAGTCTAGGATCCACAAATGAAAGAGAACACAGTCATTAAAAACATGTAATATTTTTCTTTCTGAGACTGGTTTAGCTCACTTAATATGATTATCTCCAGTTTCCTTATATTTTCCTGAAACTCACATGGCTTCATTGTCCTTTTTGGCTAAAAAATTCATGTGTGTGTGTGTGTGTGTGTGTGTGTGTGTGTGTGTGTTTCCTTATCCATGCCTCTGTTTTTGGACACCTAAGTTGGTTCCATAAGTTAGCTATTACAAACAGTGATTTAAAAAACACTGAAATGCAAGTGTCTCTGTGATAGGCTGGTTTGCAGAACTTTGGGTAAAGAGGTGGGTAAAGGGGTAGGTAAAGGGATGGGTAAAGGGGTGGGTAAAGGGGTGGGTAAAGGGGTAGGTAAAGGGGTAGTGTGGTCATATGGAACGTCTAGCTCCTTTTAGTCTATTGAGAAGCCTCCAGACTTCCACCGTAGCTGGACTAGATAACCCTCCACCAGCAGTGTATAAGGGATTCCTGGTGACCATTTCCTCTTCAGTATTTGCTGCTGTGGCTGCCATTCTGACTGGACTAATATGGAATCTCAATATGGTTTTGATTTCCATTTCTCTAATGGCTAGGGAAGTCGAACATGTTTCATACGTTTATTGACCACTTACTTATATGTCATCTTTTGAGAACTATCTATCTGTTCATTTTATTAACCTGTTTCCTTATTGGGTTGATTTCTTATTGTTTAGGGATTTTTTTTAGTTATTTGTATATTATAGATATTAGTCCTCTGTCAGATGTACAGTTAGCCAAGGTTTTCTCCCCTTCTGTAGACAGTGCCTTCATGATCAAGTGACTGGTTCCTCTGGTTTGCAAAGCTTTTTAATCTCACAACGTCCCATTTGTCAATGGTTGGTCTTATTAATAAAATTCATTTTAGAAGTATCAGCCTGCTTTGAATATATTTTTTAAGATTAACTACAGCTAAGCTGAGCTATGAGAATTAGGTATATCCAGATTATAAATTAGATTTTTATCTTATCAAAATATATAATTCTTCCTGTAGAGGTCTGAAGCTGAGAACAATTTAAATCCCCTCTCTGGAGTGTCCAATATGCTTTAACATGCAATATTTCTTTCCAGTCTGTAGGATTAAATATTTTTACCAACTCCAAAATCCACAAACCACACTTTTGCTATTTGCCTCAAGTCTATCCAGGAGTGCCTGTGGCCTATGGAGGTAAAGGTGTGATTTCTTTGTCTGCTAGAATAATAGGAGCAAAAATGATGCTTCACTGGGGTAGGGTGGGAGTGTAAAGAATATTTTTATACATATTGGCTTATACACATATTTACATACACATCATATACATATACATCTTAGGCTCCACCCAACTCATTTGACAATGTATTCACAAGTCACATCTTATGCCAAAAATAGAATTCAAATGAGATTACTGTTCCTCTCCCTCCCATGTCCTCTCCCCTCCCTACTTCTCTTTTCCCCCTTCCCTCTCCTCTCCCTTCTCTTGTCAAAATTGGCTTTTTTATCCTAGATGTCAATCATCTCACTTCTTTATATCCCCTCTGTCGTCTGTAGACACCACACCTAAGTCAGTCATGACAGCCTCTGAGGCGTGAGTCCACAGCCAGCACCCCACCTCAGTGGCTGAACCACACCTAAGTCAGCCATGACAGCAGCTGAGGCTTCAGTCCACAGCCAGCACTCCATCTCAGTGGCTGAGCTTCACCTTGCTCATCTTTAGGCTCACACAGAAGCTGTTTGTGAGTCTATTTCTTTTGTCTCACTGAGTCTTGCCTTAAAAGACGTCTTTATCCTAACTTCCATGGTGTTTTCTTCTATACTTACACTTATGATTTATTTGACTATGATAAGCACACTCCTGAAATATACATTCTACCCTAGAGGGACCTCTCATTAACCTCTGAAGTGCCTTCCCACCTTTGTGAATACATGTGCACAGCTGTTTCCCTGGAATTCTTTCCCTTTCCTTGGCTTCCCATCAACTAATGACCACCTTAAGTTCCACATAGTGAAGTCTTGAGAACCAGCTGTAGTGAAGATTATAGCTGATCCCCATGGTGTATAATGGACTTGTTAAACTTTGTGCACTTGTAACCTCTTTTCAAATGTAACCCCGGCATGTAGCTGTATCAAATAGCTAGGAATATAAAATGTTTAATTGTAGACGGAAGTTTCTGTGGCCAGTCCTGTGGCCATTCAGTCCCAAATAAACACACAGAGGCTTATATTAATCATAAACTATTTGGCCTATTTCTCAGGCTTATAACTAACTAGCTATTACACTTAAATTAACTGATAATTCTTGTCTATGTTTAACCACCCAGCTTGGTACCTTTTCTCAGTCCAACATTCTCATCTTACTTCCTCGGCATCTGGCTTGTGACTCCATCTGTACCTCTCCTCTTTCTAACCTTCTCCTAGTCTGGTCACCCCACCTACACCTCCTGCCTGGCTATTGGCCAATCAGCATTTTATTAAACCAATAGGAGTGACAAATCTTTACAGTGTACAAGAGCATTAACCCACAGCACTTAATGACAGTGAATGATAAAAAAATTTATTTTAAAGCAATTCTTGGTTCACCTATGCATTCACCATTTACTAAAAACAAAAGCAAATTTGCATGCTAATGAGATGAATATGCTTGTCTATCTTGCATAAAGAATTAAATTGTGGATGCATATTAGATACTATAAGATCTAAAGCATCTTCAGTGTTTTTCAGCCTTAGTTGATATATTAACTTTATACTCATCAGTGCTGAAAATGGCACTTCACATAAATACACAATAAAAATAGTAGATGCATGTTTGTGGCCATTCAGAAATTATTGGAAGTTCTGTATGAATTCCACACTAAAATTTATTGAACCATTTTTATCAAACTCAAGTCACAACTCAAACAGCAGCAGTTTTTAAAACTCGGACATTCTAAATGATTAAGCTGATGCCTATATGCTAGAAGGAAAATATTGTAACTCTTTATTTTTGTAATTAAGCCATTATGGTTCTATGAGAGCAGAAACCTTTATGTGGAGAATAAAACTGCTGCAGTTCATAGCACACAACAGTCAGGAATCTGAGCCAGGGTATTTCAAGCAGTGATGGGCAGTGCAAAGTGCACATGCTGTATGCTCAGATCCAAGGTTACATCGAAATCGATGAGGCAATCTGAGAACACCTCAGATTCGTTGCACCTTTGATTGTGGGTTCGTTTTTGCTTGTGACATGTTCAGAGACCTTTTTACTGTTGCCAATGTTTTCCCAACCTCCACACTTGATTACACAGCCCCATATGGAGCTGTGATCCCTTTCCAAGGCTAGGGTATGTAGCACACACATTCCAGGATCCTACTGTTCACTGCTTGTGTCTCTGTCTCGTTCACTGGTAAATGAGTCATATTTCTGAAATCTTACTACAGCTAATTTCCTTTCCTGACCTTTGGTATTCATTGCCAGTGCCCGTGGGAGACATGACTATCATTTCAGGAAACCAGCCCTCTTAGAGAAAGCTCCATTGGCTTTAGAAAGAAAAATATACTCACCTCTATGCCATGAAGCAATAGAACAAATGTATAAAATATATGAAGTAATAAACAAATAAATAAAAAATATAAAAAAGTGACTACTGGGTAGATGACCCTCTTCTACTTAAGAAACAAACAACCTCCTGGCTGGCTCAGAAAAAAAAAAAAAAAGAAACAAACAACCATTCAAAATCAGTTGTGAGAATGTGGGGCTCATATGTTGTCTTCTCACATAGCACCTCAAGCCTTACCTATGGCGTCAGTGGCAGGAGCAGGCTTCAGAACAATGAGCTACTCAGTCAGCATGAGTGAAGATCTTCAAGAGGTGCAAGTCAGAGACACAGTGCGGAAGTTTTTCCCAGAAACCTGGATCTGGGACATGGTGCCACTGGAGTGAGTTGAATGCTCCCTGGGGCTTAGCGTAGGTGAGGGTGTGAGTCCGGCTCTGGGACTTTGGTGTCATCTATTCACGATCCTTCCAGTTCTGATTCACTTATCTCACAGCAAACACTTTTCTCCCTGTCACGTGGTTCCCAGTTCACAGAAGTGACAGGAAACTGGAAGCTGTCTTCTTCCCCAAGGGGGTGGGGGATTGAGTAAATCGAAAGAGAATGGGGGAGGAGAGGGAGGGAAGGGAAGGGAAGGGGAGGACTTCCAGAGACCCCCAACAGAGGCATCAAGCCTCTAGATTTAGCCCCACATCTGCAGCCCTTGATTTCTGAGTTACCACATTCCGTTTTTGTCCTCTCCTTCCCTCCACACCAGCGTATCGGGCGGCAGTGAGCTGGCAGTGAAGGTCCCTGACTCCATCACTGAGTGGAAGGCCAGCGCATTCTGCTTGTCTGGAGCTACTGGCCTTGGTCTCTCCCCCACCATCTCTCTTCAAGTCTTCCAGCCCTTCTTCCTGGAACTCACCCTCCCCTACTCTGTGGTGCGGGGAGAAGCCTTCACCCTCAAAGCCACAGTGTTCAATTACATGTCTCACTGCATTCGGGTAAGGGCACTTCTCTGGAAGTGAGTGTGAACCCCATCACCCCCGTTACCTAGGGCTCCCCAGACCCCTTCTAGAGCTGTATGTGCTGTGCCCTGGTTTCAGAAAGGAGCAAGTACTCAGAGAAAAGCTCTGAGGTGACACGCTGTTTTCATTCACTACTCTCTGTAAATGTTCCTAAATTCAGATATGGTTTCTACATGATTACTCTTTCCTTTTTTGAATTTTTTTTTTTTTGAGACAGATCGTCTCACTGTGCACAAGGCCCAGGCTGACCTAAAAATTCCCACCTTCCTGCCTCAACCAGCAATGTGCTGGAATTACAGGAACATGCCACCATGCCCAACTAAATTACTTTGTATTTAAAGTCTGTCTGAAGAAACATCTCTTTCTCCACTGGCACAGAGAAATCCCAGGCATTTACACCATCCCTATGCTGCAAACATCTAAACTTCAAAGCATGTGCTAGGATTTACCCATTCTGACACATCTCAGAGCCTCTGGCCTCGACTGCGCTCTCAGCTTCTCCTCATTCCTCCTGACTCTCTCTGCCTGTCTGGGTTTGGGAACAGATCCGTGTGGACCTGGAGATCTCTCCTGACTTCCTGGCAGTCCCAGTAGGGGGCCACGAAGACTCCCACTGCATCTGTGGAAATGGAAGGAAAACTGTGTCCTGGGCTGTGACCCCGAAGTCGCTGGGTGAGTGGCAAAGCTGTTGACTGATTTCATGCTTTGTGTCGCAATGGTTTGCTCTGGCTGTGAGCCCAGTGCGTGCTTTTCCTCCTCTTGAATTTAAAACTGATCACCCAAGCAGAAAAGCACTGTGTACACTGGGGGAAAGCCTGTAACACGGTATAACGGTGTTTTTCTGAATTTTCAAATACGTTTATTTGCTCTCTCTCTCTGTGTGTGTGTGTGTGTGTGTGTGTGTGTGTGTGTGTGTGTGTGTGTACCACAATGCACATGTGGAGGTCAGAACGTGTGGGGAGTTGGTTCTCTGTTTCTACCATGTGGGTCCCAGGGATCAACCCCGGGGTGTCAGTCTTGGCACCAAGCATCTTCAGCTGCCGGGTCTCACACTGGCCCGAGTATCACCATTTAAAGCCTTCGAAACTGTGTCTCCCAGGGGAGGTGAACTTCACAGCTACCGCAGAAGCTCTGCAGTCTTCAGAGTTGTGTGGCAACGAGGTGGCAGAAGTACCAGACCTTATACGGAAGGACACTGTGGTCAAGCCCTTAATAGTCGAGGTGTGTGAGTACCGTGGGCCTGTCGTGTGGCATTGTGTTTGTAATCTGGGTGACTGTATCTCATTTCCGGATTGTGCATGGGTCTACAGCTCAATTTTTTCCTAATACTTCAAAGTGATTGGTTTGGGGTTTTGTTTGTTTGTTTCTTTTGTTTTGTATTTGTTATGTTATGTATCATTTTACCTTTTTTTGTTTAATGCTAAGCCTGAAGGAATCGAGAAGGAGCAAACATTCAACACACTGTTATGTGCATCAGGTATGTGTAACAAAACACAAAATTCTCGGGGCTGGAGAGATGGCTCAGAGGTTAAAAGCACCGACCGCTCTTCCAGAGGTCCTGAGTTCAATTCCCAGCACCCACATGGTAGCTGACAACCATCTGTAATGAGATCTGGTGCCCTCTTCTGTATACATAATAAAGAAATAAAAAAAAAAAACACACAAAATTCTCAAGCTAAGCCATTTAGTAGAATTTATAGCTGTGGAAAAACCATCTCAGAGATATGGCTTACTCTGAAGAAAAAATAAAGCAAAAACTTGTATGCTCTTTCCATGGAAACCTAAAGACATTTCATGAAGAGAAGCCCTTTCTTGATGAAGATCTCTCAAAATATGCTCAATTTCCCCAGGGGACTAAAGGATGAATACTATTGAGGATATTATCATTATTATTATAATTATTGTCATATTTTAAAGATAAAGAAGAGGTGTAGTGAAAAACTTGCCAGAAAGCTCCTGGTTAGTGATTAAAAAGCCTTGACCTGGGGCAGGATTCTTTCTAATACATCTATGCCTGTAAAACTTCTCCTCAGACTATGTTGAGGACATTGAAGGATCCGTGTGGCATTGTTCGGTTATACTGTTACATTAGTAATTTAAATATATCCATGTTTGTACTTTGATTGACAGTATCTCTAATGCGCTGACATAGACCCCAAAACATTATTTGACTGATACTGTTAGTATGATCATATAAAGATCTCCATCAAAAAAGTTGTGTGCCATCTAGAGTGTTTCTCAAGGTGAGGCTTTACCTACAAGCCCATTCCCTATAGAGATGCCCTTCAACTTACAAAGGGGTTGCAACCTATTAAGTCCATCACAAACTGAAAATACTATGAGTCAAAAATCCATTTAATATACCTAACCTATGGGATGTCGTAGATTAGCAACACAATTGTTTGCTCTTATAGTCCCACCCTGGCTTAAAGCAGAGGGCAGCTGCTGCTGCCCATCTTCACTAGCGAGTATTGCATTCCATATAACTAGTCCAGGAAAAGGGTGATGTTCAGAATTCAAGGTGCTTATGGTTTCTACTGACTATGCATCACGTTCACACTATAGTGACTGGAACCATCGTAAGTTAGAGACCATTCATCTAAATATCTTTGATAGTCTCATCTACATACTGTGTTTGTGTGTGTGTGTGTGTGTGTGTGTGTGTGTGTGTGTGTGTGTGTGTGTGTGTTCCTGTGGAGGATATATGTACGTGTATGTGCATATAGGGGACAAAGGTCAACCTTAGGCATTGTACCTTGGGTGCTATCCACCTTATTTTTGCAAAACAAGGTCTCTCACTAACCTAGCAAGTAAGGTAAGCCAGCTAGCCAGCAAACCCAAAGGCCCTCCCTGTCTCTGCATCCCCAGAGCTAAGATTACAAATACACACTACCATGTCTGGCTTTTTCTTCCCACACAGGTTCTGGGTATCAAACTCAGGTCCTCGTGTTACAAGGCAAACATTTTACTGACTAAGCCACCTCCCCAGACCTAGGCACCTAACTTTCATAACAATCAAGTACCAGAGCCCACACATTCACGTGCATATCTCCCTTCTGAACTCAGATTCCAGTATTTAGTCATCATCTGTGCTTACAGGCTTGTAGGTCTACCCGGTACCTCAGAACTACCCTGCCAGCAAAGGGAAGCCCTGCTGGCCCCACAGACCTGCTCCTCCTGACTTCCTTCATCTCATAGTGTGGTAGTTTCATTCTTCCACACGCCAGGCATAAAACATTTGAATCTGCCTTTATCGTGTTATTTCTCTTCTCCTCCAGCCCAATCCATTCACAAATGTAGCTGGCTCCACTCTCAAGTTATATCAAAATTCACCCACTTCTCACCATATCTACTTCTACTGTAGTCCCTTCTCTGGCTGGTCTATTTCAATGACTTCCTGACTGAGCGGTACATGGTGGCACATGCTGGAAACTCTAGCCATTAGGAAAATGAGACAGGAACAATACAAGTTCAAGGTCAAGCTAGGCTAGACAGTAAGACCATGTCTCAAAAAAAAATGCCTTCAGCAGTTTTCTAACTGACCTTCTGACCATCCCCTCTTGTGCCTGTACAGCAAGAGGGTTCCTTCAAGAACATATCAAATCGGTCAGAACATGTCCTTCCTCTGCTCACACCTTTCACAGCTTTCCTACATTCCACAGTACTAAAACCCTTACCCTCAAGCCCTCCCTGCCCCTAAACATCATGGCCTGCTGCTCTGTCTCTCACTCGTTGAGAGCCAGCCACACCAGCCTTCTTCCTCTTGGAGCATGTTTACCACACTTCAGTCTCTAAAGTCTTTTTACTTTGGGTTCGTTTTTCCTTGGAGTACCTTTCTGACAGTATCTGTAAATCTTACTCCATGACTTACTGATGGTCTCTGAACACAAATGACTTTATTGATGACTCTTTCCACGGTGAGTCACCTCCCCGGCCTCCCACTTTACTAGTTCAGTCCATAAACAGCCTCTTTCAATTTTCTCCATTACCCACCAACGTCAGTCTCACTAAATACACCTTCACTTGTTTGCCTAACACTTCTAATAAAAGTAAGAGCTCTCAAACGTCAGGAAATGAGTTTTGAAAGTCACCACCCACAGCACAGAAGACAGAACTCAGCACATACCACATATTTAATGCACATGCGTGGGGTAAATGCCTGTGTGAAAACATTAGCAATGATGGGAATTGTAGCTGGGGAGATGGCGGAGTAGGGAGGTGAAGTGCTTGCCGGGCAAGCATGAGGACCTGAATTTGGATCCACAGCCATCATATAAAAGCTGAGCAAGACAGTGTACACCTGTAATCCCAGTCAGCACCGGGGGGCTGAGGAACAGGGGCAAGAGGACCCCAGAGCACCACTGGCCAGCCAGTCTAGCCAAAACAGCAAGTTCTAGATTCAGTGAGAGATCCTGCCTCATGGGTGCATACACACACACGCACGCACGCACGCACGCACGCGCGCACACACACACACACACACACACACACACACGCACATGCACACGCACACGGAATTAATATAATCCATGAGGAAAAAGAAGGAAGTCTTTGTAACATGTATGCTTATAAGGAAAGCTATAGACAGTTGGTGCAAATCCATAACAAACATGAACTTCGCCATGAGATGAGTGGTGGCTTTGGGGGAAACTGAACTGCACCAGGAAACTGCTTAAGGGTCCAAGAGAAACAAAAAGGTTGCATCTAGATGATGTTGAGGAAAGATATTTACGACAAACATGGAGCATTGCTTTCTTCCCTCCCCCCACACCATAACTGTCTAACGTCTAGTTTGTCTCCTTTCATTAGGTACTGAACTACTTAACCGGTGGTCGCTGGACCTCCCACCCAATGTGGTTGAAGGATCTGCTAGGGCTACATACTCTGTTTTGGGTAAGTCTCTCAGCACCAGCCATAACAGCTGTTCCTCTCTGTGATCCCAGTCACATGGGACCTCACCACGCAAGGCTAATGAAGTCCCTGAGCACCAGATGCTGGACTGAGAAAGGAGCCACCAGCTGCCCTGTGCAAGAGTGAGAAACAAGTTTACCAGATGCTGTTCTACACAGTATGCTTTGGTTAACTCTGCCAGTTAATAAGAGCTGTGTCCTCCTCTTCAAGAGGTAAACTGGATGACGGTGTATCCTGGCCGATATAAAAATGATAGTTCCGTTTTCCCAGACATTATAGCCCATCAGAAAAGATGTTATCTCTTGCTGTTCAGGTTCTTCCCTGCTTCCTGTTTTTCTCATTTTTTTGTATAATTTTTTTGTCTTTCATTCCATTAATAATGTGGCCTCTAGGTTATATTTTCCTACTCCAATACAAACCATCTCTATATTCCTCTAATTTGCAATAACCTTTTACTCCTCAGGTGATATACTAGGCTCTGCAATGCAAAACCTCCAAAATCTTCTCCAGATGCCCTACGGCTGTGGAGAACAAAACATGGTCCTTTTTGTCCCTAACATCTATGTTCTAAACTATCTGAACGAGACACAACAGTTGACGGAGACCATCAAGTCCAAAGCCATTAGCTACCTCATCAGTGGTGAGCAATTTTACCTGAACTCCTAAATGCCTTCTGTTTGGATAAGATTTGGTAATCATTATTGCTGTGATTTCCAATCAAATGCCCTTCTGTAGAATAATGACTCCCAATAGTGTCAACACTCTTAGAAACATGTGAGTAAAACAATGCTTGCTCAATGATTCTTTGATAGGGTTAAAATAAATGAATAATAATAATTGTCTCATGTCGCTCATACATAACTGAATTTCCCTCTCCAGGGTATCAGAGGCAGCTGAACTATCAGCACAGTGATGGCTCATACAGCACATTTGGGGGTCATGGTGGGAACAGCCAGGGAAATACTTGGTAAGATGAAATTGTGTCTTCATGCTCCACTAATCTGAGGCATTTCAGGAAATTGCTGTTCTCTGACACCTGGGATTCTTTTCTGGAAGGTTTATTTATTCTTAAAACTCCAAATGTCATCCCTACTGACCTCTAAAAATCCATCTGCTCCACCAGCACAGCTGATAATAGAGAAACAAAGAAATAGAGGTGGAAGACAAGAAGGGCAGTTGTCCACAGTGATGGGGAAAGCTTTCCCGCTGCCCTTTAGAAGAGGCAAGGTAGAGAGCAGAGAAAGTGATGGAGAGCGGTACAATTGGAAGTCATTTGGGAAATGCAGTTTTGATGCAAGGGTGCTGTGACAGTTCAAATAAGATATATTTTATAAGACCAAAGACTGAAAACTACCAGCTAAGACCCTCCAAAATGACCTCCACTGACCTATCAGTGTCTGCAGGCAACACATGATGAGCTTTAAAAGTGAGGTGGCCCTGCTTCTCGGTCTCTTTTCTGCTGAACAGGCTCACTGCATTTGTGCTCAAGGCCTTTGCTCAAGCTCAGTCACACATCTTTATAGAGAAGACACACATCACCAAAGCTCTCAACTGGCTCTCGGGGAAACAAAAGGAAACCGGTTGTTTCCAACAGTCCGGATCCCTGCTTAACAATGCTATGAAGGTAATGCCCTGATTCTGTAAGAGCTCTCCAGTCCTTGGGGATGGAGAGATGACTCTGTGATTAAGAGTGTTTAGTGTGCCGGGCGGTGGTGGCGCACGCCTTTAATCCCAGCACTCGGGAGGCAGAGGCAGGCGGATCTCTGTGAGTTCGAGGCCAGCCTGGTCTCCAAAGCGAGTTCCAGGAAAGGCGCAAAGCTACACAGAGAAACCCTGTCTCGAAAAACCAAAAAAAAAAAAAAAAAAAAAAAAAAAAAAAAAAAAAAAAAAAGAGTGTTTAGTGCTATTGCAGAGGACCAGTTTGGTTCCCAGCATCCTCCGCAATCAGTTCACAACTACCTGTACCTACAGCTCCAGATGACCCAATGCCCTCTTCTGGCCTCCATGGGCCTTCACTCACGCACAAACTGAACATTAATGCAATATATATATATATATACCCATGACTTTTAAAATCTTTAAAAAAGAAAAAGAGAGTTCTCCAGTCCTGATGACATAACTAGGAGAATCTAAATGTTCCAGTGAATGCTGGAGTATGTAAGAGTTCTCCCTCTGTCCTTCCAGGGTGGCGTGGACGATGAGGTGACACTCTCTGCCTACATCACCATTGCTCTGCTGGAGATTCCACTGGCTGTCAGTGTACGTACACACCCATCGCCATAACTCCTTCACAAATGGGAGCCATAAAAAAAAAAATCACAGAACTAGAATCCCCTGAGGAAAACTCCAATTTTTGTAGTCTTTGATTTTGGTACATTTCACTGTGACATGAATAAGTCCTTTTTAAAAGATTAAGAGGAAACTCCTCCCTGGTATAAACTCTAATGCTGGGTTGTCACAGTGTGGCTCTCAACCTGGGGTTAGCCTGGGGGTAGTTCCTTAGCCTGGTTCTGTTTTGAAGTTGGCTTTCATTTTCTTTTATAGCACAGCATTGTCCGCAATGCTCTATTTTGCCTGGAAACAGCCTGGGCCTCCATCTCAGAGAGCCAAGGAAGTCATATCTATACCAAGGCATTGTTGGCCTATGCCTTCGCACTGGCAGGAAACCAAGCCAAGCGAAATGAGCTGCTTGAATCATTAAACAGAGAGGCTGTGAAAGAAGGTAGGAACCTCTATTGCAAAGGGTATCTAACTAGAAGTCACTAGTGATGCAAAGGCAGAGTTACTTTTGTCCTTCCTTAATTAGAAAGACAGCAAGAGAAACTGTCATTGACCCAACACTTAAGTGATAGGAACCATTTTATTGACACACACATTACTGATGTTATAAGATCCAACCACTGGTGCTACACAAGTATGTAAAGAGACCCAAAGATCATCAGGGAGCTTGATGTGCTTTTTGGTAAAGATTTGCTTGTTACCAAGCAGGGTGGCTCATGCCTTTAATCCCAGCACTTAGGAGGCAGAGACAGGTGGACTCTGAGTTGGAGTTCAAGGTCAGCCTGGTCTAGATAGTGAGAACCTATCTCAAAAAAAAATAAATGAATAAAATAAAAGTCTGCTTGTGATTGTTCTAAAGCATCCATTCATTTCATGTGTTCCAATTCATTAGCTGAACTAATCATCACTTACGGGCTAGATTTTAAAAACTATGTTTTAAGCTTAAAATTTTATCTTTTCCATTTGAAAGAGGATTCAATCCACTGGCAACGTCCTGGGAATGTTCAGGAAGTGAAGACACCCTATTACCAACCGCGGGCCCCTTCTGCTGAAGTGGAAATGACAGCTTACGTGCTTCTTGCCTATCTTACGGCTTTGCCTTCCCCATCCTCAGAGGACCTGTCTTCAGCATCCCAAATTGTGAAATGGATCATCAGGCAACAGAACTCCCATGGGGGTTTCTCCTCCACTCAGGTCTGTGGAGAGACCCTATGAGGGAAAGATAACTCAACTAATCCATATATGAACACAAACGTATTCTAGGGATTAGACAGCTGCATCATCATTTCTAACACACACTTTCTCTGTCCCTCCATCACCGAGTCCCAGCCTAATTCACACATGGACCACTGCTCTGTCCTCCTTCCATTCCCATTCTCCTCTCCTCAAAGCAGGTTCTCAGCATCGCCAGGGGTCGGTTTCCCAAAGCAATATTTTTGTGGAATTACTTCCATGAGAAAATAAACCTTATTTTCATCCACAGACTAAAATTCCCTAATTCTGCCTGAGCCATTTCCTGTCTGCAGTAAATGTGTGTGCACCCAGCTGATTAAGCAAGTCCTTATGATGTTTCTGGAATGGACTTGCTGCTATTTCTGGGACCACTTAAAACATCCCAGCTCTTCCATAATGCTCCTCTCCCCTCTCCATAAGCACTTTTCATTATTCAAAAATTATCTGATTTCTCATCTTTAATCTTCTTTTTCTATCTTAGCCTACATTTTCTTCCCCACTTCAAGTTTCTACAACAAATATTACTACACAGATTTATAAATTACTAATAATATATGTTCAATTCATATTTCCATATATATTGTAGTCTATGTAAATGATAAAACTTATTCCCCCTGAAATACATAGACTGGGTCACCATTAGTAAGCAGGAATGAACTGTATTGAAATTAAACTAATGAGCTGTGGTTTTGACTAAATGATCTTGAACGGAAGCAGTGTTGACGTTGTACACTCAGCGTGGCCTGCTATTGCTGTATCCACTGCATTTCTGTACCTTTTTCTCCTCAGGATACAGTGGTGGCTCTCCAAGCTCTCTCCAAATATGGAGCAGCCACGTTCACAAGAAGTAAGAAAGAAGCGTTGGTCACCATCAAGTCTTCAGGGACCTTCTCTCAGGAGTTCCATGTTCACAATACCAACCGCCTGCTGCTGCAGGAAGTCAGGCTTCCAGATCTTCCGGGAAATTATGCCACCACAGTGTCAGGGTCAGGATGTGTGTACCTCCAGGTGAGGCCGCCAGGGCCCAGAGAATGGGCACATGGCAGAGAACATCTCAAGGGTTACATTTTCATTGCAAAATCCAAAGGAAATCTGTGTTAAGTGAAGAGCTGAGTTACTTAGAAGAGGCTGTGAGCTGTTTTCAGCACTGAGACAAAGAATTTTGCTCTTGTTTTCAGACATCTCTAAAATACAACATCCTTCCAAAGACAGACGGGAAAGCACCCTTCACTCTTCATGTTGATACTCTCCCCCTAAACGTTGATGATCACAGAACATTCCAGATTCACATCAACATAAGGTAAATCCTAAGGGACAACCAGTCTGCTTATAGGACATGGTGGGGGGTGGGGAGTGTTAGCGTCTGTGAAAGAAATGTATTGTGCAAAGTTAATCTTAACAAAAATGGGGTCTTGTATTTGTGAACCAGGACATTTTCTTAACTCTTACTGAAAGGCCTTAGCATTGAGAATATATCATCTCAGGAATATATATATACTATCTGAAGAGAGGAGAGGAAAATGGTGAAATTTCCAAACAACTACACAGATATGGTCGATAGAGAAACTGAGCAGAAGGTTAGACTTCTGGCTTCAATCAATCCCAAGGAACCTTGTCAGAAGGACTTATCTCTATGTGTTCCCTTCACAGTTATACTGGAGAACGACCCAGCTCCAACATGGTCATTGTTGATGTGAAGATGGTATCAGGCTTCATACCTGTGAAGCCATCTGTGAAAAAGGTAAATCCTACGACATCAGCAGAAAAGGCTAAAACCGTTGGTGGAAAGGGTCAACACCAGCTCTTGCAGGTGGCAATGCCATACTGTTTGTCTATTTGATTTTATTGATGTAGTTTTCAAAAGGCTTACTCCTGCAAACCTGCCTCTCCAGAGTATGATTACATCATTTATTACTGTTTATACTGGTTATAGTGTGTTGGGTATGAGGCCTAAGTTCTAGTCTATACCCAATTCTAGCAAGCCATTAGCTAGCAGGTTTGTGGACACACTTTTAAAAAATGTATATATGCACACACACACACACACACACACATATATATGTATCTCCTTATAAATTTCTAGTATATGTATCTATATACATACATATGAATAGAAAGGATTCAATAAATATTGTCATTATGACTAGTGCTCCTAAAGAAATAAAAAAAAAATCAGTAGTTTAGATTCTCCAGAGAAACCTTTTATATGAAAAAAAATGCCTGAAAACTGCTCCTAGCATAAACCTTTCTCACTCCATAATTCTGGGTTATCAACAGCTCCAAACCCAGCCTAACATTCAGAGGACTGAAGTGAACACCAACCATATTCTAGTCTACATTGAAAAGGTAAGACTTTGTGACTCTGGGGTCTGTGAGAATTGCTGGAGTGTTTAACCAGACCATCAAGATTCCAAAGATCAGTCTCCACCACCCCTTTATCACACACACACACACACACACACACACACACACACACACACACACACACACAGGGACAAATAGCTACAAAGGAAAATGGGACCAGGACTGGTCAGCAAAGCTGTTTATGACACTTGACTATCCACAGAACTTTTGTTCTTTCATCTTTTGTTAGTTATGTTGTAGAGAGCAAAACGTCCCATCCTCTCCTACGCCGTGAGACAGGAGACAGCACACTCCTATAGCTTAGCATATCTTAAGAAAAGAAGATGGTGAGCAACGACCAAGTTAATCATTGAGTCCAATCTGTTCTCTCATCTCTCCAGCTAACCAACCAAATCCTGAGTTTCTCCTTCTTGGTGGAACAAGACATCCCAGTAAAGAACTTAAAACCAGCGCCAATAAAAGTCTATGATTATTACGAGACAGGTAAGTGGAACCCAGATACGCCGAGTTTTGATAGGAAATGGTGCCTAGTCTAATTAAAGGTTATTTTAAAGAAAACAAAACTCCACAATCTCTTACTGGAAGAAAAAGTGAGTTTATGGTCACTTATAATTATGTTTCTGTTTATTAATTTCTTGGGTGCACTTACACAAGCCTTAGGGCCACTCTAGTGGAGACATCATGAGACAATTGGTCAAGAGTTCTACCTGAATTTCCCTTTAAAGTTGCTTGCTCTAGGCTGGATTATTCTGGAAAGGTAAGAATAGCAATTTTTTTAAAATCACATCTTACTACTGATGTGTGACATAGAACCTATCATTTGATATATTTTTTAAAATAAACCCCACAAAATGGGAGGAGACTAGATAGAGCAGGAAATTCTTCCGTTTGTTCCCAACTTTGAACTTGAAACTTGCCGGCATTATACCACGTTAACAGAATGAAACGATGTCTCCTCGTTAAATTCAGGAAAGGCGCAGAGAGGAAGGCACAGTGCTAGCAGGGAAGCACAGCCATGGGAAGGGACTGTCTGAGTCTTGTGGGTACACACAGGCACAGCAAGCCTGCAGCCCACCCCTCCGTTCTGTTCCAGAGCCCTGGTTCTCTTAGTCTCCAGCCCCAGTCAAAATAACTCAGTATACAACTTATTTTCATTGATTCTGTAGCTGTGATTTATGCTTTCATTCTTCACTTACAGGGTTTACTCACAATTAACTGCTTTCTGCCCAATTATTTCTGTGTTCTAGATGAATTCGCCATTGAAGAATACAGTTCCCTTTCAGCACTGGTACGGTATAAATAGTCAAATCTAATACCAATTTAAAGAAAATAAATGAGCACCCGCTTGAGTTCTCCATACTAGGATGTTTTTTTAATATAACATTTTATATTATATAAAATCTAATGTATCATCAATTAATTGGACTCTATCAGACACATTGTAGAATTTTTAATAGAAATATGCTAGTGAAATATAATTACTAGTACCTGGGAGTGAGTTATTTTTAACTAAATTTAAGAATTAGAGAGAGAGAGAGAGAGAGAGAGAGAGAGAGAGAGAGAGAGAGAGAGAGAACATGAAGTTGGGTAGGGAGGAAGATCTGGGAGGAGTTGGGGGAGGGGAAATAATATGATCAAAATACATATAATTTCTCAAATTAAAAATATATATAAAAGAATTTTTAAGGCATAAAAATTAAATCAACTAATGTTTACATTGTATGCCCAGTGGCCATCCACATTTTTTAAGGCATTTTTAAATGTGCGCTGGTTAAATTCAGTGTCCCTACAATTAGCCATAGAACACAGAGTAAGAGAGCTCATCTATAAGACATCCTTTAGGTTGATTCACAGGGCTGGTCTTTCACCATGAATCATTTTCTATGGCACCTTTGGCTCTGTTTTTAAACATGGAAGGAAATCTGGGAGCAGTTTCCTCATTAAAGATAATTAAATTTAAAGATTTAGAATTAAATATTAAAATTAGTTCTTTTAGTAGGTTTTTTACTTCCTTTGATATTTCTGTTCTTCTGTTTAGATTCTGAACAAGGAAATGCTTAAAACTGGGAACCTGTAGATCTCATCATTGGACTTCTCCAGACATGAAGAGCCAAGAGCTGTTAGAAGAAAGGACAGTGAAATAAATGGAAGGGAACTAGAGACACATTATATATTGAATAAAGTTATGACATTTATAACTACATTTTCTTTTCTTTGTGTACTTCTATCATTATATTTATTTTCTGAAATATGTTTTTTTTTTTCCTCCACGGCACTTTAACAGTACCTAAAGAAGTTACAAAAAGAGATACGCTAGAAAACACTATGATGTGGAATTTTTTTAAAGTGTTTGGTTAGCCCACAAGAACACAGGGGAAATGGACCCGTGTTTCCTAACATTGGAAAACAGCCCAAATGCTCACTTGGCCAATGACGGTCTAACAAACTGTGGTATGTTCACATCAGGGGTGCCATTGCACAATATTACATGCTGCACACCTGCCTAAGTGTGTCTGTGAGTAAACTAAAAGAATTCCAGACAGAGAGAGAGAGGGGTGATGTCAGGAGTGAGAGTAACCAGGTTGGTCTTTCTTTTCCGGTTTATTTTAAAAACTTTCTAGCTTTAATATGTAATTTCATTTGATCCATCTCTTAAGAACACTTAACGTGCTTGCAAGTGAAGAAAACCAACAGACCTCCATTTTATTTGCATTTTTTATGTTGAATTTGTTCCCATGCCATAAGTTGTTGTGTCTTGGTTTCTTCTGAAATATCTTTTTTTTTTTTTTTTTTCTGCACAGCCTCCTCCTCTGGCTTCGGAACAACTTGTTCCTTTTCGGTGAGGATCATCTCAGTGTGGCGGGGCAGGGGAGCTCACTCGTGCATTAGTTAATGGACGTGTCCAGTGACTGGAGAATCTACATCTAAACCCTTGAGTTCTGTGTTGCGCTCTGCATTTCTTTTTCTTTTTTAAAAAAAAAATATTTTATGTATGCGTGCTCTGCATGTATACCTGCATGAGGGCATCGGATCCTATTACAGGTGGTTGGGAGCCACCATAGGGTTGCTGGGAACTGAACTCAGGACCTCTGCAAGAGCAGCCAGTAACCCCTGCGCCATCTCTCCAGCCCCATTCCCCCACTCCACCCCACCCCCTGCTCTCTGCATTTCTAAGCATGTGCAGCAGTGTCAAAAGAACATCAATTCTCCCATCAGTGTTCAGACAGAGCTGGCCTCTGCCTCAGGAGACGGCACATCTTGCACTGAATCATTGGCCCTGCCTGCTCTATGTTCTCTTGTCTTCAGACTGACCTGTCTTTTGGTTCTCAGGTTCCTTGTCTCATTAATGTTCACTCCCAGAAATTACTGCCCAACTCTAAGGTGACATCACCCATAGCTACTCAGACTGAGGCATGGATAGACACTTGTTTCCAATGAAATCCACACCCATGGGCTACAGAGCCCCACAGATGGACCAGCCAGAATGTGGAGAGACAGTTCTGAGTGTGTCTGTTCATCCTCTGATATTTCCACAATGTTGTAAACATCAGATGAGTGAGTAGCAGCAGATCAGTCGCTCATGATTTGTGAGCTCAATCTGATCTGAGGCTGGAAATCAAGGCATGGAAATTTCTGTACATATTTTAAACTCTGTTGTGTAGATCGTGTGCTATCTTCCAGAATGTGAAAGAGCACTAGGCACAGCATAGATCTACAGTGAGATACTGGAAATGTCTGATGACATCATTTGTCTGGGCAGGCATTCAATAACCAAGAGTCTTTTTGTGGTGCCCCAATGCCATCTAACCCAGCCTAGTCCAGAATCTCAAAATAGGCTTGGCTTCTCGGTTTGTGTGCTTGTTAGGGGATAGTTTGATTTGATTTGATTTGATTTAGGGGTTTTAGAGGGGCTTTGGAGGGTGAGCAGTTTGGGGTTTGGGTTTTTTGGGTTTTTTGGGGGGGTTGGTTTTGGTTTTATGAGACATAATCTTGCTGTGTATTACAAGCTAGCCTCAAACTCAAAATCCTCCTGCCTCAGCCTCCCAAGTTCTGGGATTACAGATATATGAAACTCAACCTGGACATATAATATATTCTTTTTTATATATTTATTCTTCTCTCATACATTACATCCTGAGTGCAGTTTATTCTTAATAGAAGCAAAGCATAGAAGATTCCCCATGAAAGTTTTGATCAGAATGTCTCTAGAGATGGAGAGACTGTCTGGGAAATGTTAAAATTGTATCTTCACCAGGATCTGTAGGAGGCACCAGGGAGAGATCATTACCATGTTAAGATATGATAACCTAATTCCTAAATTCAACAAAATGCTGATGCTGTAATCCAAAGAATTAGCTACAACTGAACACTAGAAAGTACCTCTTAAATAAGCCTTCATGTTTCACAGCATTGAATTTTCTTGAGTTGCTTTTGAACTCGATACTGTGTGTGTGTGTGTGTGTGTGTGTGTGTGTGTGTGTGTGTGTGTGTTGCATACATGTGACTATAAAGTTGTGTGTGTGCAACCACACAAGCAGAGGCCTGAGGAAGACATTGGTATCCTCTTCTGTTGGTCTCAATCTGACTCCCTTGTGACAGGATCCCTCAGTGAACCAGGAGCTGGCTATGTAGGCTGGCCAATGAGCTCCTAGGAGCTGCCTGTCTCCTCATTCCAATAGCAGGGTTACAGGCACATGCAGCCATGCTCAGCTTTTTAAGTTCATGCTGGGAATTCAAACCCAGGTCCTCACGCTTGCATAGCAAGTGCTTTTACCCACTGAGCCATCTTCACAGATTCAGATACTATATTTTTTTAATTATAGGTTGGCTTAACTACCTTTACAATGCTAGGTATTGAACCCAGGGTCTCACAAAGACCAGGAGAGCACTCAACACTGACCCATGCCCCAGCTATGAAACCAAAGTGTTTTGTGAAGTAGGTAGACACTTAACACGTATAAAGGCACAGGCCGTAATAGAAAGAAACACAAAGAGAGTGTTAAGAGGTCACCTGACAGTCTGTGCTGCCTGATGGGTAAGTAGGGGAGATGGAGCAGGGCCTAATGTCTCATTGAAAGGTTCTTGCTATGGCTAGACTATTTCAGGAAATCTACCCTCAAGAAAGAAAGAGAAAGAAAGAAAGAAAGAAAGAAAGAAAGAAAGAAAAAGAAAGAAAGAAAGAAAGAAAGAAAGAAAGAGAGAAAGAAAGAGAGAAAGAAAGAGGAGAAAGAAAGAGAGAGAAGAAAGAGAGAGAGAGAAAGAGAGAGAGAGAGAGAGGAGAGGGAGGGAGGGAGGGAGGGAGGGAGGGAGGGAGGGAGGGAGGGAGGGAGGGAGGGAGGAAAAAGGAGTAAGCAGAATGGACCCTGTTATCTTTATACTCTAACCACATTGGAAACCTGCTATGCTGTATCGACTCAGGTCACGGACAGTTGAAGCACATCCATTTGCCCAATATTGACTTTCTGATTTAGAGTCATTTCTGGGAAGTGTGGACAGCTGGGTGTTTTTGTAGAGCAATCTGGGTGGTGCTCTCGGGCGCCACCTAGTGGCAGTGTATGGAAGGACAGGAAACCTGGGCACGGCCGCTCAGGTGGCCTGTGGGTTCTGTCTTAGAATGTGCTTTGCCACCATGAGGACTCTGATAGCAGCAGAGGTAGGATGCTCAGATAACAACTGACAGGGAAGGATGTGGGGACGAAAGGCCAGAGCCCACAGAGCCCTCCTTTCTCTACTTCGTGTTGGCCTTGGAGGGGCCTGAAGGAGGTGCAGTGGGTGCAGAGACCAGGAGAGAAGCTATATACTGTATCCTAGAGTCTTGGAGTGAGTGAGAGGCGTGGGGACTGCCCTCAAACGTCAGGAGTCATGGACACTTGAGAACTAGGAAGAACAGAGTCCAGCTATGATCCTGGAAGAGATTCAGATGCCTGTATCAGGCTCTCCACTAACCCCACGGTCTTCAGACACCACACTGAGCCCTAGGCAAGTGCCAGCCCCCAAGAATGCTTTTCCTTGGCCGTTATCAGCTGCCACCTTCTACCTAACTGAGGGTACAGGAGTGTGGTACTGCAAAGTTCCAGGTCCTCTGTGTTCACAAACCAACATGTCAACTTTCCTGTGGGATTCACTGTCTGAAAATGAACTGACCCAGTGAAGTCCCCTACAGGGAATAGACCACAGAGGAAACCTGTTCAAATGCCCCATTGTGACTGCCTTGGTTACTATAAAGAAGGCGTGTATTGAAAAGGAAAATAATTCTTTGCCTTCGGGTCCCAGGCATCTGTGTAACATGGCTGGTAGGATGTCCCCGCTGTGGCTCCACAGTGGAATATGCCATCTTTGAGATCCCAATGGGAAGCTGTTGTTGTACCCGTTTCTCGAAACCCCCAGAGACCACCAGGGAGCCAGTTTCCGATGCAAGCACATAAGGGTCCTTTTATTCAGGTTCAATCTGGGCCACCGCACTGCAGATGGAAGGAGATGTGGCGGCGGCCACGAGCCCAGGTGCAGAGAGTTTTTATAAGGAAAAACCACAAACCGGGAATTGGCAACTTGGGTTTGGGCAGAAGGGATATGGGGCAAGGTGATTTTTTGAAATTCTTGGTCTAGACTTTGGGCACGAAACCACATCTGAAACCATTGGTTTAGACTTGGCGGGGAACCACAACCCGCTGAGCAGGATTGTCTGGACTGCTCAGCAGGATTATCTAGATATCTTCAAGGGCCATAAACCACAGACAGGATGTCTGCAGGAGGATACTGCTCTGTATCTGTTCGAGTTGTCATGGCACATTCCTGAGGTCCTTCCTGGGACTGAGTACCGCAGGTGGTCTGAGATGGTGGCCCTTTCCCTAAAATGGAGCCTGTACAGTCAAGTCTAGACCTTCACACTGTTAGCCACAGTGCCTAAGATCAGCTAGGCCGGTCTCACCCAGGCTCTGTCCACACAGCTGCCTCCTTCCGCACCTCTCTCCTGCTCCACTCTGGAGTCTGATAAACCAACAGGAACGTGAGACCGACCGTGTCTCTGATAAAGACCAACCCAGTGGTTCAACAGCTACGCGGCGCCTGCTCTGTCCAGTGGGGAAAGCTTGTCAAAGGGAGTAGGAGTGAACAAGGGCTGGGCAGTGGGAAGGAGACCTGGTCACCAGCACCCCCTGCTGGCTGAGTGACCCCGCCCCACGGCATGTGTTGCTACAGCCCGTGACAAAAGCCTGTGCTCTTGGGTCCTGCAGGTGCGTCCACAGGGACAGCTCTCCTCTGCCACTGACTTTTCACGTAAAGGGATGATGGCGTCACAGGTGCCTGTCATCCAGAATGCCAGAAACACCCAGAGGCTGCTCCTGTGGGCAAGAGGCCTGGCCCGCCTGCCACCCTGCTGTGCTTGCTAACACAGGTGTGGCCCTCTGCGGCCCACTGGAGGCCATCCGTGAACTCTGAAGGCCTGTAGATAAGATGGGGGATAAAACTTTGAAGGGACCCTCCCCCACATCGTGTTTCCATTGTTTGTCTGTCTGCTCTGGGGGAAAATTCCTGAAGGAACCGCAAGACCGAGAACCATTCTTCTAGCGGCACCCCTGCTGTGGGCCCTGCCTGCTGTCCAAGCGGGCAGCCAGCAGAGGGCGCAAGAGCCATTCTGTGTGCTCGTCCCTGGCTCCCTCCCCCTCCACCAAGAGGAAATCAGCCGCGGGGGAGAGCTGCGGGGAGAATGCTGTCCTCAGCGCAGTCTCTTTGCTGGAAATTCCATTCAGATCGGAAAAACAGGGCCCTGAAAAACATATCATAGACGAGTACCTCCTTCACTGACTTCTCAGCCCTGAGCTGATCTTTATTTCACTGAAGGTCTGAGAGTCCGGAGGGGTCCACATAAAAGCCTCACTGGAGTCTTTGGGCTCCTTTTCCTTAAAACGTGTTTCCCTTTTGTAAACCCCCTGCCCACCCCGCGGCCGCTGCCGCCCTCTCTTATCTCACTTTCCCTTTAAGGAAGCTGGTTCTGGAAAAGAAAATAAACAAAGATAAGACGCTCAAAACCACCAGAATGTTTGATAATCCACCCTCTGGGATTCTTTTCAAAAAGTGGATGAGGAGGGAGGTTTTGGCCTGATAGCTGTAGCTGAACTTGGGGTACTGGGGCATTCCCCAGGATCTTCTGTGTTCACGTGTTTGCATAAAATGCCTTTATTAGAATTAAAAAGCAATAACCCAGGGCATCAGGAACTATTGTCCTCGCTGAGGTATCTTTGATATAGGCTGTAATTTCAAATAAAGCCTCCAATAAAAGAGATTTAAAGCGGAGAGACAGATGACTTTGGGTGTCTCTAGTCCCTCAATTGCCTGCTCTAAGTCCCCTTACCCACACTCTGGGCAAAATCATATGAGTATCAAGTGAGTGTGTCTCAGCTGCTTCAGGTACAAGCAGGGAGCAGGCCCCTTGGTACACTGACCTTAAGCCAAGGGAAGGACAGTCTCTGAAGATGTGCCTATCACCTGAGACAGGGGACAGTGGAGACCCAGAGTCAAGGACAGATTCTCAGACACGGCGTGGAGAACGACCCCCACCCCACCCCATCCCAGAAATCATTGCTCAGCCACCTCCTGCTTCACTAGGTGAACACCTTGGGAATTTCCAAGTCACACTGAAGCCTCACCTCAGGTAGAGTCACCCTGAGGACAGTGAGTCTGGTGGCCTAAGCCCCTCCATCGTCCAGGCTCCTCTGATCAATTACTCGGTTTTGTAAATCATTTTGTATTTACGCTTTTTGTATCTCTTTTCTAAACATGATCCCCCAAATTGAGTAAATATCCCTTCCTCAAAACATTACTGCTTGGTTTTAGGCTGGGAAAGGAAACGGGGTTCAAGAGAGATTAGCTGCGTCAGATCATCCTTTAGTCAACAGCTGTACTAACAACAGGCTGTATGGCAGGGGCCCTGACTACCACCAAGCATCCAAAGCAAAGTGTCTACTGTTGACACAAGGGGAGGGGCTTGCATGAAGGGAAACAGTTAATATGTGACCTATGCTACAGACCAAGGTAGGGGAATAGGGCATTCTCGGGTCACATGACAGGGGTCACTCTGTCTGGGGAAGGGAATAGGGTCTGGTTAATGTGTGAACTGTATTACGTGACAGTAGGCAGGCTGCCTCTGATCCCTGAGTAGCAGGAGTGGGAGCCTAGGTGTGTTCATGCTCTCTTGTAGCCCTCTCTGCTTATGGCCTGGTAACCTGGAGGACTTGGGTTCCCTAACATTTTCAGCCGTGTGTGTGTGTGTGTGTGTGTGTGTGTGTGTGTGTGTGTGTGTGTGTGTGTATAAACAGATTATTTGATAGAAATGGTGAGATCCTAAAGATTATCGAGCATCCGAGTTATGAAGCGGTCTGCTTCCTGCTGAGCTGGGGCAGCACTGCATTAGAAGGGCTCCTTGTTTGGTGGCAGGTAGTCAGGAGAGGGTCCTTGGGTCAGAGACTGGCATCTGAATTCACACATCAGGAGGACATTGTCACGTGTGAAACCATTCAGGGCTGGATTTGTTGGATTCTGGGAGAAATGAACGGCAGAAGTTTATGGGGGAAGGTCAAGGATAAGTACAGGAGCTACCCACCAAAGGGGCACCATCAGAGGAAACGGTGTCCACACCACCTCCAGGTTTCTACGCAACTTCCTGAAAGATGTATTTGTCATTTTGTTGAACTTTTTCTGATTTGTTCAAAAGAGTGAGTCAGACTGTTTGTAAGGTGAGTTAGAGGAGTTTGTGGGAAGACAACACAGAGAAAAGCAAGTTTTTTATGGGGTTTTCATCGTTGTCTGCAACAGTGTTTAGCCAGCTTCTGAGTTTGAACCAGGAAAACAGATTGGCAGGGATTAGCAGTTCAAGTCTGGAGCCGATAGCCACCAAGACAGAGGACCAGAAAAACTAGTCCTGTGCACTTCTCTGGAAGGAGGAGTTTGCCAAAGTCCAACATTGTATTTCCCGGAGTATTCTTAAAGCAAGTTCTAATTTTGGTTTGAACTCCCCCAGTCTCCACCTCCTAAATATAACAGGCATAGGGCATCTCTCCCACCTTGTGATTTTCAGCATCCCGGCTCCCAAAGGTGTAATAGGCACAAGTGAGCAATGTGGCATCTCAAACCTGAGTGATCGTTAATCTTCATAATCAGTTTAACTGGATTTAGAGTCACCTAGGAGATACACTCGGGTGGGGTTGAGAGTGTTCCAGTGAGAAGTAATGGAGGAGGGAAGACCACCCCAAATGTGGACAGCCCCAAACTGTAAGTCCCAGACTGGATAAAAAAGGGAAGAAAGGGACCCGTTGTATCTTGTTTTGCCATATTTGGTTGCTGTCTCTTGGAAGCCTGCTCCTTTCTGAAGAGAAAGAGGTTGAGAGTGGATCTGGGAGAGAGGGGAGATAAAGGAGAAGTGGGAGGAATGAAGGGAAGCTGAGGTACGGATGTACTGTACGAGAGAAGAATCTATCTCCAATTAAAAAGAGAAAAAGAAAAACTGTAAATATTTTCATGTAAGACTCTCACTGTGGCATAGATAGCCATCTGTGCCTTCCAGTTACACTGTGACTGTAGCAACATTTTTACTCTCTGTACAACAGCAGGAAACAGCTTTATAAATAAAATCTGAACATGTTGGGCCTCTTTAAAAAAAAAAAATTAAAGGTCAATTGAATGCAAGCATTCATCTCTGTCTGCTTCATGGTCTGTGCAGATGAGCGGTGTCCCAGCCACACACTCTGGCCACTAGGAATTCTCCCAGGCCATCGCCACCGTGATGGACCACATCCCTCAAACCATGAGCCAAAATGGGCCTCTCCTTCATTTTATCAAAGCAACAGAGAAAAGCAACACTTTGGGAGAAGAAAAATAATAATATGCCTGAGGAAACATTCCATGTGGATTTGTGAATAAAGTGCCATTGGGTAAAAAGAAAAAGAAAAAAAAAAAGGTCAGTCCAAACCATTATCTTGGAAAACATGCCTATTTTTGCAACAGCTCCCACAGAAAGACAGATCAAACAACTCACACTCATCTCTGCAAAGAACTTCCCACAAAGATCTAACTGTAGCCTACTTAATGTCCTTCTAATGGCCTTGACAGGAACGACAGGAGAGGTCTGGAGCAGAACAGTTACCAGAGCGCACCTCTCCTGCATCTCAGGACCCTGAGAACTGCAGCGCGCTGGCCACTAGGAAACTCTCTGTGTCTTCCCAGGAGCTTCTTGCTTAACAACCCTCCACCTAAGCTTCTGGGGGGAGCAGTACTAAGGAGTGGAAAATATCCCAGAAGCTTAATTCAGTTCCTCAACTGGATGACAGCTCATACTCAGGTTGGGATCCCAGGATTCTGCTGTGAGGTTATCTGGCCCTGGAAGGAACATTTTTATCTCAAAATCCAAAAGAAGGAATTTTCTGGCTCGCTGTCCACCGTGGAAACTGAACTGTGCAGCACGTTGACACGTGCTTTTTCTCCTACCCCAGAAGCTCCTCCCAGGTTTTTCAAGACTGCCTCCTTCACTTGCTGTCTGTGTGCTCAGCAGCATGAAGTTCAGCAGCACCCCAAACTAAGCGACCAGGCACACAAGGGCTGCATTCCAGGGCCCTGACCACTACCTCTCACGTCTCCAGGGCCTAAGAGATGGACCACATTTTAGAACTGTGCTCTACCTCAATAATGAGAAGCATTAAGCTTTCTAAAGTTTAGTGGAAGAAATAAATAGCATCATTAAGAACCTTCCAGAATCTGAATTCACTAGCCTGGATGTATGTCAAGAGAGAACAGGAAAAGGCTGTGGGGAGTCAAATGTGAACAAGGCTGTGGCCACTTGGTTCACTGTGGGCTTTGATGTGGTCATGCCTCAATTGCATCACCTCTTGGGTTCTTCTGTTCATGTCTCATGTGGACAGGGCCTGTGGTCACAGAGACACAGGCATGTTCAGAGCCTTGCCCTGTCTCCAGGATTATAAACAAGAGTTCCTGTGGCCAGGTTAGCCTAGACTCAAGCTGGATGTGACCTCTGTCCCCATCTTTTGTCTTCATTTCTCATCCCTCAGTTTCTATAGATTAAGCCTTGTCTTGCTCTTGCAAGGGATGCTGGTCTCATCCTGCTTTGGGAGTCCCCCAGATGTGACAGCAGTAATGTTTTCCCCTGCCATTATCGCTGCAAGACCCAAACAATGCCCCAACATCCAGAAGAAAGTGAAGAGATGAATGATGATTCGTTTGGGGGCTGTTTCCTGGATTTGATTTACTTTTTCCTAGTATCTCAAGGTCTAACTCCTGATGATAGGATTTGCAGGGAGGATGATACTGTAGTGTCTTCTCTTAGGCCAGGTCCTTTTAGAATTGTGTTGCACTCTGCTTGGCTCCTCCCTCTCCTCCCTCCCTCCCTCTGCTAATCCTAGTGAATGGAAACAGACTTCCCAGGGGAAAAAAAAACACAGCAGTGATTGTTCCTCAGATAACTGTGTGTCAAATGAGTGGCATGCTTTCGTTGCTTCTAGGACACACCATAAAGTAACCAAAACTATTGCAGGCCTCATGGAGCATGCATTGCAGTGGGAGCATGCATATGATACACTGTAATCAGAAGAAAAAAGGAACCATTGTTTCAGAAGGTAGCAGACATTATAAAGAAGGTGTTCCAGGAAGCAGGTGCTTTAATACGGTGGCCCGTGTGCGACACATTGGAGCATGATCGTCAGGAAAAAAAAAATTAAGATCATGAGAAATCTCCCTGAGAATGTCCAAACCATGATTTTTTCAGGCTATGGATCCTGCAGTACAGATGCACTGTGGCAGAAGCATGTCTGTATGTTGTGGATGAATACGGAAGCTAACTACTAGAGCAGAGGCATGGCAGACCTTTTCTCAGTGTGACAGAACCAGAAGACAGTTGCCTCCAGGAAAGTGTGGCATGACTGTTTCCCCCTTTCAGAGAAAATGGCCTCACAGTATCTGGGAAGAATGTTGCCTTTCGCTGAGATTTGGGCATTGAGAAAAACCGACTTTGTGCATTAAATGCCAGAAAGGAAAGCCACAAAACCGAGAGGCTAAGAGTCACTGCCGGTCTTCTTAGGGCTCAGATGTCTCAGATCTACCAAACCAAATCATGTTGGATCTCCATCCTTGAAGTCCCAGGCTTCTAGTCAGAACTACTTGGTGAAGAAACATTGTCCTGACGTATTCTCCAACTCCACACAGAGGGGAGAAGCAAATGAGGTTGACCAGGGGTGAGTTTTTAACTGAAACAACCACTCTTCACAAGACACAAAGCACACAGGAGACCAAGTGGACAAGAAGCACTCGGCTCTCATCACCCTTCCCTCAAAGCTCCTGCTTCCCTTGCCTCATCATCAGGGCAGGTACTGGGTGCTGATTTCCACAGGTCTGTTGTTCCAGCTCCTGTTTAACCAGAGAAGGGAAATTGAGGTCCTAGATTCTCCTAGGGCCAGTTAACATTTCTCCTGGGATCCAATAAGCAACCAAAGAGATGGGCTTGCCATCACTGGCCAAAATAGAGATTTAAAGGAACATCACATCTGAAGAACTGCTTGCTAGCTGCCTCCCTCACCATGGATCCCTTCCGTGATCACCAACCCCCCTGCACACAGATGTGCTATTAAGTCAGAGAAGAAGAGTTTTGGCCACACCCAGTCCTCCAGCCAGGACCGAGCCGGCTGTGGGCTCTTTGCATGGGCACTGCAGGGATTCAGCAGAAAGGTGCCCCTCAAATCTGAACAGAGAAGGTCTCCTCCAGTGAGCCACTCTTGGCTTTGATTCCCATTGCAGCAGCAGCAGAGCCTGCTCCTCTGCCTGGACAGTGCTGCCCCCCACCATCGTCTGCTGGTCCATTGTCTGCTCATAGTACTCCTGCCCTTGGCTTTAGCCCCTGACCCTCTACCCTGGTCCTGCTGCTGGACCCAGCCTTTTCAAAACTCTTAAGCCTCTTGGCCAAGCCTGGCTTTCTTATATCTCACTCACCATTTAAATTACTTTGCTATGCAGCTTTCCAAATGTAAATCCTTCAGTGGTGCGATCTTTTTCAGTTAAATCCTCATCCCAACTTGCTGCCAGTTTTATCTCCTTTAAACCACACCAGTTCCTAATATCCCTAATCACTCAAAACCTGTTTTTTCTCTGTTCCTGAGATAGTCTGGGTATGTCCTTCTGCTCTGACATCCACAAAACCTTCTTCTTTGCCAGAGTCTCTGACATGGGCATCTTCTCCTGGCTTCGCTTCATGTTACTTCACCCCTGTGTGATTTCCCCTGTCTCCTCTGTCTTGGTTACCTTACTCTTTCTCTGAAGAGACCCCATGACTAAGGCAGTTTATAAAAGAAAGCATTTCATTGTATACTTGCTTACAGTTTCAGAGGGTGAGTCCGTGCCCACCATGGCAGAGAGCATGATAGCAGGCAGGCTGGCATAGCACTTAAGCAATAGCTGAGGGCTTACGTGTTGAGACAACAACCATCAGAGAGAGAGAGAGACAGAGACAGAGACAGAGAGCTAACAGGGAGATGGAATGTGCTTTTGAAACTTCAAAGCCCACCCCAGTGACACACTTCCTAATCCTTTCAAAACAGTTCCACCAACTAAGGACCAAGATTTCAAATATACAAGCCTATGGAGGCCATTATCATTCAGGTCATCACATTGTTACACCCATTTGCTCCTCCCAGATCCTCTTCCTCACCTCCCCTTCCCTATTCACTGGAGTCTCCTGCTCAGGACACCCTTGCAGAGGGCAGAGGGGATGTGTACTGAAAGAGGACCCCAAAAACAGTACAACTCCTCAGGGGTCGCTCCTTCTCCTTGATAACAGCCCCAGGGGCCACGGGCTGCTGGTGAGGTGACTGGGGCTCAGTTGGCAGAAGTTGTGCCAGCCTGTGACAGACGGCTCCTGCTCCGCCCGCCTGAACCAGAGTCGCTTCAGCACCACGGACAGTTCCTAGAATGCCCTGAAGCACAAACCCTCAGGGAGACAGCTTGCACCTCTAGCCTCTTCTACCTACCGCCCACATACTCTGTTGGACAACATGCAACAGAAATCAACTGGCAAGAAGGACACGCCTGAGAATCAAAGCAGAGGCTCCGGGCAAGCCCAGTGACCAAGAGGAAAAAGAGAGATGCTGAAAGACGAAGCAGAAATAGAAAGGGAAGGCAGAGGAGTTCCAAAATGTCACAAATTCTTTTTCCTATGTCCAGCCATCTCAAAAGCTGAAGCTCATCTTCAAGACTTTCTGATGAGGGGCCACACCTGCCCCTTTGGTACCCAGCAATCTTCATTTCTGGGGATGCCCTGGAGCACAGAATCATGGGCCATCAGAGCCTCTGGAAAGCACTTGAGGAACAAAATCTAGTAGGTCTCTGTGGCTGATGCTTCCAGACCCTTTTGGAGTGACCATTCTGCTTGACATTTAAGGAAGTATGTGCAATTAGTAAACACTGGATTCATTTTGAGACCCCAAACCAAGAGTGTAGGCTAAAGTTTTCCTGCCTGGCCCACAGTCAGGACAAATCTCTCTCACCTGCCAGTCCCACAGCCGTCAGACCCAACCAAGTAAACACAGAGACTTATATTGGTTACAAACTGTATGGCCGTGGCAGGCTTCTTGCTAACTGTTCTTACAGCTTAAATTAATCCATTTCCATTAATCTATACCTTGCCACACGGCTCGTGGCTTACCGGCATCTTCACATGCTGTTTCTCATCATGGCGGCTGGCAGTGTCTCTCTGACTCAGCCTTCCACTTCCCAGCTTTATTCTCCTCCTTGTCCCGCCTACACTTCCTGCCTAGCCAATGGCCAATCAGTGTTTTATTTATTGACTAATTAGCAACACATTTGCCATACAGAACATCCCACAGCACAAGAGAATAGAGCCATCTAGTTTTAGAATGGGTCTTCCCACCTCAATTAATCCAATTAAGATAACCCCTCAAAAGCATAGCCAAAGGCTTGTTTCCCAGATGACGAGGATTCTGTCATATCAACAATTAACACTCTCACAGTGTGCTGTGATGTGTGTGTGTGTGTGTTCATGTATGTGTGAACATACATATGCTCGTCTGTGTACATATATTACAGGCCATAGGTCTAGTCAAGTATCTTTATCGCTCTCCACCTTATTTTTTGAGATGAGATCTCTCACTGAGCCTGGAGCTCACTGATTGGGCAAGACTAGCTGGCAGATGAGCTCCAAGGAGCCTCCTGTCTCCACATCC